AAGACACAGAAAGTTATTAAGAGTTCTAACAGAGTTCTCCAAGGGCCAAGCTTTCCTTTTCTTCCCTAAGTTCCTTTCTGGGCCTTTCTGGGAGGCTGTTTCAGCTAGTTAAAGATGTTCACATCAACTTAGGAAGGGAAGTACAATGAGGAAACTGAAGCTGAAGTACTGAATGATGAAAGAATGAAAGGTTAAGTGATTTGATCCAAATCATACAATGTCAGGAACAGTGTTAACTTGTTTTTTTCTGACTCCAAACCCAGCAAAGTATCCACTAGAGTGACTAGACCATATTGACCTTCATTAAATAAATGTTTGTTAAACTGAAACAAAGTAAAACTAGGTGTAAGCAAGGACAGAAGCTTTGGCCTTGGTTTTACCAACACCTCTCTCTAACAGCAAACTAGTACTCCCATCTCAATCCCCTCCCAAATCTTACAGTATAGTGGAAAGTACAGTGATTCTGAAATTACAAGAGACTGGATAACTATCTTGGACTCAGCTAATTACCTTCAGGGTGTTCCTAGGCAAACCAATGAATTCCTCAGGGCTTCAGTTTTAGGTAAAATGAGGGGAGGAAGTAGTGTAAAGAAGACAGTAGCCTTTAAAAACTGACCAGCTAAATAAATAAATTTTCTTTCTCCTGCACCAGCCTGAACCTTCCCTTACACCCCAGGTCCAAGCTCCCAACTTCCCTGAACTGATCTAGGTAAGAACTCCACAAAAACCCACCAGAATTCACTGGCTTTGGAGAAAGTGCTCCACTTCCACCCAGGACTCAATGGACCCAGTTTCCACTCTTCTCCCTAACGACCTTTTGTTCTGTATGTCCCCACAATGAAGCTGGACTGATTTACTGTCCTGTTATAATTTCCATGCTTCCTTGTACTGGGTTTTTGGTACTCTGAACTAGCCTGAGCCTCCTTTATTAAGACAAGATGGTATTTATTTGATAATTTTAGATGGTTTCTAAGGTCACTTCCAACTCTACTTTCAGAACTACATAATTAAACTTTCTAGCCTTAAGTCCATATGACTTTGTTTTAGGATTCAAAATTGTTCCATTACTTACTTGAAAAGAACAGACTGTTGCCATAAATAAAAAACAATGTTTCTAATTGTAAATTTTCCTGCCCACTGTTTTGGAAAAAACTTGGTTAACAACCAACCTCTGGATCAGGGCAACTGAAAAGAATAATTAGACAACATTAACATCCAGAATTCTGCTTTCCATACTTTTCTCTAGGCAATAAATGATAATATAGTCTGAATAGATGAGAAGATAATGGGGAATGAGGGTGGGGGGAAGGCAGTGCCAGACTCTGATGAATTGTAACAGTAGTAATAATAGCTCACATTTATGTAACATTTTAAGCAATTTACACATCCCATTTCAGATACAGAACACAGAAATCAAGGTCATTTCCAGGGTGAAACCAACCAAATCAATCTATAAGTACTTTATTCAGTGCTTCCTGGCTTCCAGGCACTGTTCTAAATACTGGATGGAAGAGGAGCAATATGTAAAAGCACTGGAAAAGCAGGTAGGGCTTTAATTGTAAAGGAGACCAAATGCAAATAAAGCAGTTTACATTTGAACCTATATGTAATAGGGGGCAGGTAGGTGGCTAAGTGGATAGATAAAGACCAGGCCAGGAGTCAGGAAGAACCCGAACTTTTAATCTGTCCTCAGATACTTACTAGCTGTGTGACCTTGGGCAAGTCACTCAATCTTGTTTGCCTTAGTCTGCTCATCTGTAAAATGAGCTGGAGAAGGAAATAGCAAACTACTCCAGTAACCTTGCCAAGAGAATCCCAAATGGGGTCATGAAGAGTCAGACATGGCTGAACAACAACAACAACAATATGTAATAGGGAATGCTGGAATTTACTAAGGAGAAAGAGAGTATTATAGTCAGATTATAGTTATAATATATAGTCAGATCTGGGCATTTGGAAAATCACTTTGGTGGTTATGTTGAAGAATTAGAGTAGTAAGAGGCTTGAAACAGAAGAAACCACATATAGGAACTGGGTGAAAGAAAAACACTGGAGGCTTCAGTTAAAGAATGATGCTATTGAAGTCAACATGTATTAGGGGCTTACTTTGCACACCGTAACCATAATGATAGGAGGGAGTGCATATTCAGTTCGTTAATCCTCTCTTTTTCTATTTTGTTAAAGTATGTTTATAAAGATATCATTTTTCCCAAGGTGTTGTCTCTCATCATGATCATTTTCTTTTATATATTCATTGTTTCTATGAAGCCTATTCATTATTTAGGATTTCCTTTTTAAGTCTCCATTTGGGGTCCAATTCTTGTCTGTTGTCTCTGAAGCAATTACTATTTTTATTGTGTTATGGTCTATAAAAGATGCATTAACTATTTCTGCCTTTTATTTTTAAAAAATATCTCTGTCCCCTAGTACGAGGTCAATTTCAGTCAAAGTTCTGTGTGGTGCTGAGAAATAGTTCTTTTGCTATCCCATTTAAAAGATACCATAAATCTTTTAACTACAGGTTTTTTCAAAACACTGATTCATCTTATGGGCAGGATATCACCTAGTTCAGTCCATAATGCCTCATGCCTGCCTTTTCACTGTTACCTCCACTTGACTTCTGCATTCACCCTTGTCTCCTTATGTATATTTAGAAAAAAAAATTCTTACTGGTCTCTCAGCGGTCATTTTGTGACTGTTGCTGTCCCTGGCTGGTGCCTTTATTCACTTCTGAATTCTGTTGTTTACGGTGTTTGAGAAGTAAAGAATCTCCAGTGGTCCCCCCTCCCCAAATGCTTGAAACACCTCTTTATTGTTGAACAGCCACCTTTTTTCATGTACTGTTAAGCTCAGATGTGCAGGGTAAGTCATTCTGAGCCCCATTATTCTTCAAAAGACATTGATCCACATTTCCTCCATTTTCTGGCAGGTGCAAAATAGTCTTCTTACTATTTAAATTTATTTTCCTTTCTAACTGAAGGTCTTTCTCTTGATCAGTTGCAGAACTTGTTTCTGAATCGAATTATAACCAGTATGTCCTGGAGCTTGCAGCCTTAGCCTTTTTTTTTTTTTTCCTAGAGCCAGAGGACAAAATTGCTTCTGTTCTTAAATGTTGATTTATCTGTTTACCTTACAGGTCTCTGAGTTTTCTTCTTCTAGAGATCTTTGGCACTTTCAATATCCACTTCCACCCTCTTAATTTTTCTCTATTCACTTTTTAATTTTGTCCCTTCTGATGGTGGTGGTTTCCCAGGACCCCAGCAATCTGCCACACCAAAATTCTCTGCCTCAGGTGACTTTTGGGTGTACAGAACTGGCCTGGGCTGAATGCTGTAATCTCTCCCTTAGGCCTAAGACAAATAAATCAACAAAATCAATATATGAATGTATTGTATGATACATCTGTATACAATACATTGTATAAACTGTATAAATAAAAGAAAAAACTTCCAGAGAACCCTGTCAGCTCTAAATCTATAATCTTATCAATCCTGTCCAATATCTGATATAACCATACACCATCTAAGTTTGGGGTAGAGGGGAATCAGAACCAATTAGGTTCTCTAGTTATTTTTTTGGCCTTGGCCAAAATTTACTGAAAGCAACTACTTAGGCCTAGGCACAAAGGGGTTACAATTTCTGTAGGGAGGAGGTATGAGGCTGGTAAACACCCAAAAAACAGCCACTGACTTGAAGTATTTGTAGTAACTAAGCCATCATTAATTACACTGCTTCCCAACCAATCTCAAACATTTATTAAATGCCTACTATGTGACAGGCACTGGGCCAACCAAAAGACCTTAGCTTTTGAGCTACTACACCTGTTCTGCAATTTCAGACTACAGTATGAGATGATTAATATTAATGAAAAGAAAGGTCCTTAACATTTCCAAGTGGGTAGAGAATAGACGGAAAGTTCCATCAACTGGGATGGTTTAGGGTAGGAGTCCCCCCATTTTCGTCCCTAAAAAGGTTTTTTGTTTCTTTTTTTAAACAGCCTGTTTTAGAGTAGCCGCTTTTACCCATTTGCTGTATCCAATGTTTTAAGATTCTCTAGCCCTCCCCCTATCCCACTTCATTAGCTCACACTGTAATAATTTCTTTACCTTGGCCATCCCTCAAGAAGTCACCTAGTTTTCCATAAGAAAACTTGGTACGCAACCAAGTGTAAACATACCTGACAGCTAGGGTTATTTTTTCTTAAATCCATAAATGCATCTAGCTATGAAATCAACCTATTAAAATCTCTCTCCTAGATTTTTTTTCCCCAAATGTTCTGAGACATGATTCAAGTCCAAGGGCTGCCAGGCCAGGCTGACCATTCATTACCAGTTAGTGGCTCTGGATGAAAGAACAAACAGAACTTTCTAGCTAAGAAGCGCCGCCCTGTCGGGACAAGCTGATTCAGACCGGCCAGGAAGGAGGCTATGCGGCTTCGGCTGCAAGGGGGGGTGGGGTCCCCAAGCTCCAAACTCCAGGCCTTTCTCCGGAGCAGGCAGCTGCCCAGTGCCCAGACAGGGGATGGCGGGCAGTAGTTGCTGGTAGAAGTCTGATAGGGCCTCCTCTTTCCGTCTCCAGTAAAGCGTTACGCGGTTGCATCAGGCCCGGCGGCGAGGCGCGGCCCATGCCCCGGCGCGGCCCGGCGCGCTCGGGCGCACATGGGGAGCTGGGTGAGCCTCTCGCAAGCACGCGCGCCGCTGGGCTAAGCGCGGTGGCAGCGCCAGGCTCCCCCGAGACCGCCCTTGGGGCCTCTCTCCGCCGTACTTGGGCAGCGGCAGGATGCGCACAGCGGCCCCGCGCGACGTCCCAGCGGCGCCCGGCTGCCACATCGATGGCTCCAACAAGTTGTCACCAAGCACACACAGCCACCTTCCCCCCGCCCCGCGCTGCCCTCCCGCCGCCTAAGGGGGTGAGATGCGGGGAGAAGCGAGGCCTCCGCGCCGACCCCCTCTGCGCCCAGGGCTCCCGTCGGGGAAAGTTAGCGGGCTCGGGAAGCTCACCTGACCATGGCGTCCGGCTTCAGCGGCGCTTTCCCGCCCGCGCGGCCGCTGCTCCCGCTCGGCAGCTCCTGCAGCCGCCGCTGCCCGAGCAGGCCCTCGCCCGCGCTGCCGCCGCCGCTGCTTCCAGCCCGGCAGGGCACCTGGATGCTCCCCCAGGGAGGAAACGGTCGCCGCGCGGCAATGCCCGGCCGGCAGCCTTGGGGAGCGCGAGGGGCCGGGGGCTGCTGCGCCCAGCGGAGCTGTCTGAGGACCCCTGGCAACCTCGTGCTCATGGCTGGAGCTGCAGCCGCTGCCGCTGGTGGCCGAGGAGCTGAGAAGCCGAGGATGCCGGCGCGGGCTGCTAGAATCCTCCGCGATGCGGTGATGCCGCGGTGATGCCGCGATGCCGCCGCGGCCGCTGCCAAAGAGAAGAGACGCCGCCGCTGCGCCAAGTTACTCAATCCTGGGGCTCTACGCCGGCTGGGCTGGGCTGGGCAGGGCGGAACTCTTGGGAACTCAGGAGCCAGAGAAGCCGCAGGAAGCGAGCGGCGCTTCCTTCTTAGGGGACCAGAGGCCAACCCCTAGAGGGCACTCCACCCAGAAGTGGACACGCCTGCCAGCCCCGAGCTCGGTGACTCCCCGGGAGCTTGCATCGAAGCACCTGCCCGACCCAGCTCTGGCAGTCAAAGCTGCCCAGACCCTAATTCTGAGGGCGTCACCTTAGGGTAAAATATAAAGCAAAGGAAATACTGGTGCTGATGCAAATTCCCTTTGCAACAAAGCACAGTCCCTTTAGCTGGGGCTGTTGGCTCCTGTCTACTGCTGGGGCTTCAAATAATAAAGGAAAAAATTACAAAGTAGTAAGTATCCAGTTAGCCCCAGGCTTTTGTGAAATTAACCTGGGATTCGCAGACTTCCCAGATTTCTAGGAATCTATGAACTCAAATGGGGGGGGAACACATCCTCTATTTCATTCAAGGGGGTCTCAGACTGGCAAAGGAGTCCACTACACAACATGCCTTAATCTTGCCGGATTCCTTTCCTATCTGTCCCACTCCTTGTCCCAGAACAAGATTTTTAAATCTCCAGGGTTTGGTCTTTTTGCAGTCCTTTAGTCATTTGACTGTATCTGCCCAGAGTAAGATTAATTTTACTCTAAAAATGGAATTTCAGAATCTAAATGGTACAAAATCTGAAGGGAAACTCCTCTTCTTGAGATAGTCATTGCTAAGGACTAATAAATAATATTAGATTTTGTTGAACTTTAGAGGTTGTGAATGTAGTTGTCCTCCAACTTTATGCTTCTTTTTAAGGGCTTTATAGCATTCCCCTAGCACAATATTTTAAAATTAATCGCATGCCTGTTCCCTCAAACTTTTGGAATCCAAAGCAAGGTTTTTACCTATTAGCCTAATGAAGAGAGACAGAGAGAGAGACACACAGAGAGAGGAGACAGATAGACACAGAGAGAGACTCAAACTCCATTTCCATAGTTTTTTGAAGTGTCTCAAGCCTAAGAGACAGAAGTCCTGGATAACCCATAAACTGGACTCTCAGATTCTAATATTGAACAGTAAAATTATTTTTAAAAGTTGACCTTATGGCTAAATTATCATTAATGAAGCCAGGTTACTAAAGGCTAACTTTCCATCCATAGTCAACCAGTAGTTCTTTCAATATTTAGCAAATAATTTTTAATTTGGCTGATTCTGCTTATGGAAACTTAATCTTTTAAGTAAAGAACATCATATAATGTGTTAAATATTTGGATACTGAAATTCAAAAACATTGACTTTATTTTATTCCAATAGATATATTCATATCTTTCCCAGTGTTTGAAATTGCCTGTTGAATGACTTGCAAATGTTTTTGAAGGTGAAGAGTATAATAAGTGATGCTGGCATTTGTGGCATTTCCTTCCAATGATACTTGCAATATCATTTACTGGTATTCTTACATAGAAGCAACTTGGCAAAGTGGCTAGAGGGCCAGTCTCACATCCAAGAAGACCTGGGTTCCAGGGCTGCCTCTGAAATACTTGCTATGAAACCCTGGGCAAGGCAACTCTCTAAGTTGCACAGAAGGTGCTTATTTCCATTTCTGAAATTTCCCTATGCAAATAAAGTCACAGATCCAGTCAATGCTATCCCCTAATTTTCACATTATAAACTCATAAAAGCTCTAACATCTCTTTATTGCATTACAAGTTTTTAGATATTTGTCATAAACATGGTCTGCAAACTGTCGATATAGCATAAAGTATCTTTCCCTTGGGGTTTGACATATTTATTTATATTTAGCTTGGAAGGAAAGCAAAAATATGAAGAGCTAAGTTTAAGAGTACATACTTTATTTTTAAACAAAATAAGTCATGAAAAAAGTGCAACAAGAAGCTCTAAGTCTTATCCATAGGACAGGATTTGACAAGGCTAAAATGTAACACACTCATACACACATACACATACACACACACACATACACACACAAACTAACAGAAATGTTAAGGAAGTTACTTATGTCATGAACCTTTCTCGCTGGTGGAGATGAATATAGCTGCTCTTATTCAGGTATAGAACCATAAACAAATGCAGTGAATTGGAGAGCTCTCTAGGCAATGCCTTACAAACTTTTGCCCTTTACAATGTAAGAATCTCTCTGGACCAGATTCTTTGTGTCAAATAATGTTTTTTGCCTCTATTATACTAAAAATAAACAAGTTACTTAATGCCTGATTATATCATCTGTATTCATGGCTTATTGCAAACTAACTTTTAAAAATTATTCGCATTTTCTTTCCTCTGTGAGGCTTCAGTTAATTCACATTCTTCATTAGAGACACCAATTTTCCTGTCACCAATTTCTTTAAATTAAAACACATTACTAGAGCCAATCCAAAGTCAAGCCAATCCAAACCAGTTTTTGCCTTAGGGTCAAATAGTGCAAGGGAACATCTCTCTCTGGTGGACTGACAGTCAAGTTGAAAATTCACCTTTAAAAACTCTTAGAAAGGTTCTTCCCTCCACTCCAACTCCCCCTCACCAAAAAAAAAAAAAAAGGCAAGGAATATGTACTTTAAGTAAGTACAATCTGGATGAGTTTATATTCAAGAATGGAATTGACTTTAGGCTACATATTCAACTAATCTTAATGAAATATTTTTTAAAATCCTGTTTCTCTTTTCAATAAGCATCAGATAAAATTAAAATTGCAAGCAGTATGACACTAATTGGCCTTGAACATCTTTTTGCACAAGTGAAAAAAAAATTCAATAAGCAATTAGTTCAAAGTTAACTTCATGGGGGTGTGGGGTGGGGGGATAAGTATTTAGTGTTGGCTTTATGACAATTTAGCTACCTATTGGACCCCACTCCAAAAACAACTCTAATATGTTTCATGTACTCTGATTATATAGAAAATAGCATAAACTGGCTCAAAACTGGAAAACCTATATACTGTTCTGACCCTCATCAAATTTTCTGTCAGTCATATTCATAAGATGTGAGGTTAACTACTCATGTAGTTAAGGGCAGTTAAAAAGGGAAATCTGAATTTTTTTTTTTAGTTAATACACATTGATTCACACTATAATTTACTTTATACTTTACAAACTTTATTAAATAATGGGCATTGCTAAAGTTCATTATCTTATATACACTATCTTAAACTGTTTTACTAGAGGCAATTCCCATAAGTAGCATTCTATGAAGTGAAAATTGAACTTATTTAAAAAAAATGAGTATCCAGTACAGGGATTTAATATGACAGAAATACACATTTCTAAAATGCACAAAACTTTTGGTTTCCTGGAAGCTTATACAGTAATACAACATATCCCTGGCCATTTAAAAACTAAGTTAAAGCACAGAGCTGATGATTTGCAGCAGCCTCAAATTCACAATAAGGGTATATACACAGTCCTCAAAATCTGCACCCTAATAAAAAGAATTCATTTGAAGACATAAAATACATCTCTGCCTAAACACGTAAATACAATGATATGTACATATACACTTTATACAATAAAGGGAGCCATTTCAAAGCTGTCATTTGCAGGGTGTGTGACGGGTGTCTTATACTTTCAAAAATCAAAACCATGCAATTAGCAAAGCAGCATGAATTTGAAGAATCATTTTTATAAAATGAAAAATGATCAGCTCATTATTTTCAAGAATTCAATCCATGCCAATCACAAAAAAATGGAGTTGACTTCATTCCAGGCAGCTTAATATTCAAGTAACTTTTCTGTTTCCCGCACTGCATGAACTTGCTATTTTTAAGACTTCTATGAAGTCAAGAAGTATGAGATTTTTGTGGCTCTCTTTTTTTTTTCCATAAACAGCTTGATCCTGAAACCCCAGGATACTGGGTTTTCTAAGGTTATCAAAAGGGTGAAGGATCCAGTATAATATTAACTCTCCTCCAAAAATTTTTTTTAACACTTTTGGTGAAGGAAAAGAGCAGACATTAAGCAAAGAGTGATTTGAAGAGTCAAATATATAGGTGGCGGTGGTGGTGTTTTTAAGTGGCCTAACTATCCATCACTATACGGAGAATCACATTTTATGTTCTGCATTTAAGGATATGAGGCACTGGATTTAACACAAAAAAGGAATCACAAGTAAGATGCCACCTTGATCTTGCACTTTGTTTTAGTTTCACTCATTTTAACAAAGACAACATAGATGACCCTAAATATCATACATAATTTTATTTGCCTATCTAAATGGGAAAATGTGATGGGGAAAAGGGGAAGGAGGAAGCAAGCATCTATATAACTGCTTCTGACAAGACTTTGAAGTCCACATTTTGAAAATCTATCTTGTTTCTGCATAAGATCTTTTGATTTCATGTTTCATTCATGGGACTTATGATTAGGTAGGATCCTTTCAATTAAAAATTAAATCTGCTACTACATTCCCCAATTTAAAAAACTCCCCCCTCAAAAAAAGAGGCTTTATGAGGTCCTATATATTTGGTATCTCTATACAGTACTATGGCACACTGCTTTTTAGATACGGTATGGCAATGCAAGGTTAAGATGTCAGTTAGCAAAAGTGGCAAAGAAAGTTTTGTAATGAGTCTCTCTTTGTTAAATATCTTTAACATAGATTTTTGTGTGTGTATACACACAAACATACTACGTGCAAATAAAACAAAAATCAAGTGGCATTGCCAAGTCACTAGAAACTCTTGAGACATGTTTTCAGTCAAGTTCCAGACTGACGAGGAAAATGCTCTTTGAAAACACAAATCTTTGGAGAAGGGAGGGGCAGTTTAAAAATGTCATGGTATTATGTAAGAATAATCTATTTTCTTTGCATGAAGTGTACTTCAATATGTTTAAGATTTCTTTTTAATTCAACTTATACTAATGGAAAACAAACTCTTCCTAATAGCATGTCATCTCTAATACCAACAATCTGACTTCTGATAGAGTTGGATTTACCTTCAGGCCACTGAAGGAGCTGCTATCCAAGAGTCATAAAGTCAGCAATGTGAATATCAATCATATTCTCAAGGCCTTCTTTTCAAATAGCAAAAAGCGGCAATTGTGAAAGAATTTACCTATGTAAAAATCCCAGAGAAAGCGTTCCTTTTCCTTCTAATGTTTTGGTCATGGGAAATCTAATTCCTTGTGGTCATATAATTTTTGCATACTAAATTAGCAACTTATCTAAGCTCCCAGCAGAAACCAAAAAGTGGACAACATATTATACTACCCCATAGAAAAGGCGATTCCAACAGAAAGCTTTTGTCAAGCACTGATAAATGCAATAGTGATGATAACATATAACAGATATCAAATTGAACCAGATATCCTTTAGATAACATAATCTTTGACTTTTAACCTAACATGCTTTAAAAATTTTTAATGGTGCTTGCTCTGCTACCTGTGATAACAACTGCCACCCAATTATGCATATTGTTGCACAGAAGTGCTAAATTTCTTAAACTGTGGGCAGTATTGTCAAGATATAGAAGAAAGTGGCCAGACCATAAGAAAAGACCAAACTTTGAGGTGAAGGTGGACGACAATAAGAATAAGCTAAGGATGTTCAAGTAAAATTGACTTCGAAATCAACCATCCTCATAAAATATACCACTAGATGTTAATTAATATTCGCTACTAGTACAGTCCTGTCTGTTTCAACCTTTTCAACATAATGTGCCATATCCTATACATCTACAATTTCATATTGCTGTGTGAACACTACACTGAAATATGTCATTAGTATTTGTAGTACATGAATATTGTAAAAAGACAGCACAGTCATAAGCTATGAAGTACTTTAGACAAAGCTGCTTGAGCTGAGACATTGAAATTTTTCCCTTAGAGCCTGGACAATGTTCTGCTGATTGGGTGAGGAATTACTCCACAGATAGTCATTCAGTTTGTCAGAGTCACCATACGTTAGGTAAGGTGAAAGGTTAAGTTTGCTGTTGACTGGTTTTGTGGCAGAAGCACAAGGACTGCCTAAAGAATGAGAGGTGATGTTGCTACGCTGATCATCAGTCAGCTCATCTTCTCTAATCTTTGGATCAAATTTCTGGAGGCGATTCTGGGCTATCTCTAGGTCTGATTCATCCTCTTCTGATTTGATCTCTACATAGTCATCTTCATCTCCTTCTACCTCTTTGAAATTAGAAAAATAGTTCTGTGTGGCTATCTGGGCATTTAATGGTAAATTTTGATTCACTACCAGAACCTTCTGTGAATCTTGGAGAGTCACATTGGAGCACTTTTCAGCACCTTGCTGGCCTGAGACAGTGGTACCTAGTAATAAATCCTGTTGACTATCACACTTTGAGCTTCTGTGTGAAGACAGCTGCTGTTTCTTTCCCATTTCATTTGGGTAATTGATAGAGTCCACCAATTTGTTTAGCACAATTGAAGAAGCGGACTGGGACCAGCTGTATGACTGGGATTTATTACTTGTTCCTTTCCTGCCCAAAGAATTATAAACATGGATGTGATGTAAATTTTCTTTATTAGGCTGGTTTATTACAACGCTCCGTCTTTGTACAGGGCCTTGCAGAGGAGTGGATGTTTGAAGTGAAGGCACAGAACAAGCTGTTGACAACTGCCGCGGAGTACTTTTTGCATTCATCTCTGAAGAAGAGTATCTTGACTTGGTATCTTCATAAGGCCAGGCACGGAAATCTGGTAATTCTCCATTACTGTATGTAGAGTGCAAAAGCCAGTCTTCTGCTTGAGAGCCCTCATCATCCAACTGGGAATGGGAAAGAGACAGAGGTGGTGGGGAGGAAGATCGGAGGATGGGTGATTCTCTGGGGCTAGCCCAGCCATCCTTCTTTGTTTTAAGGGGGGTCCCTCTGAATACAATCTGGTCATAGAGTTGGGAATATTCAGCAATCCTGGCACCTAGAAGAAACAAGTATTTAAACAATTAGATATCCATAGGATAATTTCAATACCCACCTAAGATAAAAACCAATAGTATTTCATACGAGCACTAAATATAGTATTCAGGTTAAGGCTGAGGATGAGAAAACATTAAGGAATTGTCAGTATAAAACATACTGTTTCTTCTTCCCATTTTTAGGAAATCACTTCATCTAAGGATCACATTATATTTTATAATTCTTGAGTGTCTGATACCAAGGGCATATCTGCAGGCATCCACCATAGTCAATAAAATTCCTAATTATTCTCACAAGTTTGAAATAGTGATAGTATGCTGAAATGAGACACCACAAAATGAGAATGTGAGCATGTAAACATTGACCAATAAAAAAATTGAGGTATTTATTAAAACAAAAGTAACTACAACTTGTAGCCCAAGGGCTGCTTTTAGTTGCCAATGATTTTGGATAGCTGCTGAACAATGTGACCCAGGGAAGCCTATTCATTATAAGTATTCCTGCACTCAAGCAGCCAGTAGCACAGTAGATAGAGCATTACATTTAGGAAGACCTGTGTTGAAATCCTGCCTCATATACTTAGCTGCGTGACCCTGGGCAAGTCACTTAACCACTGTCTGCCTCAGCTCCCTCATCTGTAAAATGGGGACAATAATGGCACCTGCATCCCAGGACTGTTGTGAAGACTGAGTGAGATAGTATTTTTAAAGTGGTTTGCAAACATTAAAGTGCTATATAAATTGTTGTTTGGTCATTTTCAGTCATGTCTGACTTTCTGTGACCATTTTCCATGTTTTCTTGGGAAAAAAATACTGGAGGGGTTTGCCATTGCGTTCTCCAGATCATTTTACAGATGCAGAAACTGAGGCAAACAAGGTTAAGTGACTCACCCAGGGTCACACAGCTAGTAAGTGTCTGAAGCTAGATTTGAATTTCGGTCTTCTTGACTGAAGGACTGGCACTCTATCTATCCATTGTATCACTTAGCTGCCCAGCTGCTATATAAATGCTAGCTATCATTGTTACCCCATTTTTACTTCTCAAACCTGTCCCAGTTTTCTACCACTTGTTCCCTTGGTTCTGCTCCCTTTGCTCTTCATAATTTCATGCAAGTCTTCCTATGCCTTTCTAAAATCACTGAACTCATCATTTCTCATAGCATAGTAGTATTCCATCCATGATTAAAAATAGAATAAATTTTTTAAAAAGTGAAAAAAGAACAAGTTCCCTGCTTTGTTGCAGAAAAATCACACATCAATCTTGGACACTCATAACCTGGAGTCATTCAAGGAAACAGCTCATTTCACTTCTCTTATATTCAATGTCACCTTCTCAAAGCAACTAAAGGATACCATTCCTGACCTTAAAAAGTGAACTGTCCTTGTACTAAACCAATTGTTGTTATGCTTCTTATTATTAATTTGGCCACTTGGTACTGTTCTAGAGAGGTGATATAGTTCCTTCCAATGAAGCTTTCATTGCTTGAAATTATATTATGAGGCTCTTATTCTCTACTCCTTTTTCTTACTCCACTTCTAAATGTAATCATTTCTAAGCAGATTAAATAAAACATACAGCTGTCAAAATAAATTTGGGATTTTAAGCTGGAAAAGACCTTAGAGATCAAGTTAATGTAGTTCCCTCCTTTTACAGATGTAGCAACCGAGGCCTAGAATTGGTGAAAGTACCATTCTCCCAGAGACTCAAGAAGCACATAAGAATCACATGCCTCTCTGTCTTTTTGCTCTGCTCCCAGGAAAACAGGTTACAGTTGGTCACTACTCTTGTATGTCCTTCATAGACATTTTTCTTTTCCTCATAGATGGTTTTCTTCAGTGTAAATAACCCTGGTTTAACTTTGACTTTAGTGGTCCTATTTCCCAACCCTTTCTTTTTCTAGCCCAAATTTCATGGTAAGAATGAGATATTGAGTCTAAGCAGGTTTTGTCAAAAGAGCCCCCCCCCCATCATTTTATTCCCTGAAAAGACAAAATAAAAAGTGGAAATTTGGCAGTGCAGGACAGAGGTTGCTCTAAAGTCCATATTATTCAATCTGAAAGTGGCAATGTTTCACCAACCTCGTGAAACCTAACCCAGGGAAACTAAAGTAAAATAAATTCAAGAACCAACTGATATTTGGCCAGACCTTACTCATTCTAATCTAGACAAAGATGGTATAAGTTGGCTTTTAGGAGAGACAACCTGGGCCTTCCCAAAGCATGGTACAGTGATCAATTATTTTCAGAAAGCATCTGAGAAGTCCCATAATATTATACTTTCAAAGGATAAATAGGGAGTGAGGACATATTGAAAAGTTACTTTTGAACAGTTCTACTGTGAAAATGTAACTATAAATACTTGTAAGAATAGTCAATTCTGGATTATCAAACATAAAAAGGAAGAAGTTAGCCTGAATTGTGGGTAATAGCAAAACTGATTAAATTTGGATCTGGAGTGCATTATTACATATACTGCTTCTCTGAGTAGAAATATCCTATCCACTCCTCTCTGCATACACATATCCTACCAGTCCATTCTTCATAAACCTTCTCTGACTCAACTACTCCCTTCTGAATATACATCTTTGTAAATGCTCAATATCTGATGATATGTTCACATTAGTAACAACTCATCATGGATGGTTCTAATCTGTGTCAATGAGGGAAATGTGCAGACTGAAGAAATCACAATGTTAATTTAGAAGTATTATACAGTTAACAAAAGTTCATTTAAACATCCAAGTGAAATAAATTAAGTAAAAAGAAAATTGCTTAAAATCACGTAGCTTAAGGGAAGAAGCATTATACTGTTAATAAAAACAACTTTTGTTAAGATTTTAAAAGCACAGAAATGTACAGCCTAACCGAGTAGAAAGAACAATGGAGTGGGAGTCAAAAGCCTTGGACTCAAAAGTTCCCAGCTCCACCATCACCTCATTGTGTAAATTGGCCTAAGTAATTTCACTTGTCTGGGCTTCAGTTCCCTCCTGCATAAATTGAAAGGTTGGCCTTCGACATTAAAGATGCCTTCAAGCTCATTCTATGATTTCCATGTTATTTTTGTTAAAGTGACCAAAGGGTTCCACTCATTGATTAGTGATTCTGGTACCATACAAGGAAGCCAGCTATGGGCATGTCATTTCTGGTCTCTGGGGCTCAGTTTTCTTGTATATAAAAATGAAGGGGGCAGACTCAGTGACCTCTAAGATGATATTCCATCTCTACTTTTTGATGATGCAATGAATTAGTCTTTACTTGACTCTTTGGCCTTTTAGAACATTACTTCCAAACTAGGAGATTATCAGCTACTTTAATTGGCATAGCATTTTATGGCGATTTGATATTACACTTATTTTATTTTTCATTCCATCAAGTCCCCAGGTATTGATCTCTAAGTAAATAGAACTAAATACTTTATTTGCTGGATCACAAGGTGGACCTTTCTGACAATTTATGCCACTTTTCCCAGAACCATTAAACTTCTCATGTTCACATCTGAGTTACTCCCTAATTATTTATTAGAAAGGTTCATTTGTGAAAACAAAAAGATGTCATCTTGAGTCACATCCAGGGTTCAGCAATAATTCTGCCTCGGACAATGTAAGAATCCTAGAGATAGAACTGGCAAGGACCTGAGAGGCCAATAGTCCAATACCCTCATTTTACAAACATGGAAACCGAGGGCTAGGGAGGCTAATGCAATTTGCCTAAGGTTGAACAGGTAGTGATGGTCTGAGTTTGCATTTGGACACAGGTCCTTGGATTCCAGAGATGGATTCCCTGATGTTGTCCTCAAAAATGTGGATTATGTAGAACAAATTACAATTTTACTATAGGAACTCTGTTGTGAATGCATCCATGAATTTATATAACTTTTCTAAAATCTATTGAATCTATTTTTGAATACATTTAATTGTCAAAAAAAAGTCACATATTTCTAGCTTTGATGGAAACCTTCCAGTTCTAGTTTCATGAAATGCTGGCTCTATTTTTTTTTATAGGATTCAGATTCTGTCACTAACTAGCTGTGTGACTTTGATCAAATTACTTATCCTTTCCGTCTCAGTGGATTTGTTCTAAAAATGAGGGCATTGGACTACATGATTTGAGGCTTCTAGCTCTAACAAACCATGACTTCATAATGTTTTTATTATCTTTTCTCCCCAGCTGTGCTTCTTGATTTCCCTCTACCCCATATAGGTATTCCAAAATCTTAGTGCAGTTTAAAGGTTTACTAGCTGATACTTTTGAGATACTCTATATTTCTATGTCTCACAATATTTGACTTGGAGTACTTATTAGTTAAATGGCCTTGGGAAAGTCACTTAACTTCTCTCTCAACTTCAGTTTTTTTACTTGTAAAAATAAGGATAACAATAACACCCACTTCACAGAATTGTTGTGAGAATTAAATGAAATAATATTTGTAAAACCCTTTGCTAGCTACATAGCTGGCGCTGAAGAAACAGCTACTGATTACTCAGATGTTTTTAGGAGGGACATCAAACATGCCTCACTCTTTTCTGAGGCCAATATTAAAATGAATTTGAATTTCCTCAGTATGTACCATTTAATGGCAACAAAAATCCTAGAAACACGTTGCGTGGAAGAACAGAGGGAAGTCAGCTTCTGGTAACAACATATCCTAAAGATAAAGTACGAAGGATATTGATTATATAATTGCATAAAGTTCTTTTTAGCTCTAAAATTCTATGAGAACTAAGAGTTGTCTTCATAGAAAATTTTGAGTTTGGGAATAAGGTGACCCACCAAGTAGAAAACATGGTCTAAGAATTTGGTTTCCCAACCATATCTGATGAGAAGCTATAAATAGACCCATTGTCACCCTATATGAGAGACAGGTTACAGAAAGACAGAGGTATCTCAAAGAGATGGCCAAATTGTCTCCTTTACAAAAAGCTAGGATGCCAATATGTGGATTATGGCTCCTCCTATTTCTAGTAGTTTTTATGTCTTATTGACTTTAAATAGACCCATTGTCATCCTACATGAGAGACAGGTTACAGAAAGACAGAGGTATCTCAAAGAGATGGCCAAATTGTCTCCTTTACAAAAAGCTAGGATGCCAATATGTGGATTATGGCTCCTCCTATTTCTAGTAGTTTTTATATCTTATTGACTTAGACATAATGAGGAATTAACATGTATACACAGATACATACATTCCTCTATGTACATGATATATATTTTATATATAGTATACATATGGTGTGTGTGTGTGTGTGTGTGTGTATATATATATGTATATATATATATATATATATACACACACACACACACACACACACATACACACATACACATATCAGATATACAGAATCATTAAAATAATAGGAATCATGCCCAGATTATACATTGATATTTTTTTTCCTTTTTGCTGATAAGAATTCTTGGAATTCTGGAGAAGAATTTCATGTCACCCTTGTTAAAACAGGTACAAAGACAGGGGATGAGATGACTGAAGTAATGTCGAGTCAACATTTTTTGTGTCTAAGTTTTGAAAGATGTCTAGGATGAGGTTTGGCTTTTTACAGTAAGATGAATCCTTCAATTGACATAGGGTTTTCTCCCACATGAGCTATCATAGGAATGATAATTCGAAGGTATCCTTTGCCTCAAAGGATCCCAGGAGGCCTGAGTGCTACAAGGCTGCCAGCATGCTACATATTGTTATAAAAATATGGGAAGGAATGGACCTGCTTGTGTGACTTTTAGGCGAAAACCTGCCCCAGGCCCTATAGACCCAGGCTAGGCATTCAATAAAGATGTTCGAGAGTTTCAGCCGGGGGATAGCGTGCTCCTCCTTCTGCACAACAGCGAGAGCAAGCTCCGGGCAAAGTGGCAAGGCCCATACGAAGTAGTCTGGAGAATCGGTCCAGTCGATTACGAGTTCCTGTGCCCAGATAAACAAGAAAGAGAAAAGGATTCATCACGTCAACTTGTTGAAACCCTAATGGGCACAGGAAGCTCTTTTGATTCACCCAGACGGAGGAGGCGAGGATTTAGGTCGTCAGGTCCAAGAGATGGCAGGCCCTAGGGACGTGCCCACATCAGGCAGCAATGGAAAACACAGAGCTCTCAGGAAGATTTTGAAGATGTCTTCTCTTTGTTGGGGAGAACGTCGGTAGTAGCCCACCATGTCAAAATGGACCCAGACACTTATCTGGCAAAAAGATCCTACAGGATCCCCAAAGAAGATGCCAAGAGGAAAAAGAATCACTAAATTAATATTAAAAAGGGTATAGGAGAAATTCATAAGTGGGCGCTGTGGTGCTAATGGCTTAGTTTCTTAATCCTTCAGGATAGACATCTCACATTTTAATAGATATTCCCTACTCAAAGAGTGGGGTACAGGACATTACTATTTTTTACTCACTCAACTTCTATTGTCAGATACCATTAATATTATCTCAGAGGGGAGCATTACCTTCTCTATTATTCTCAGAGGCCCAGGTAATACAACTGTCTGCCACCAGCCCAAAGTTAATGGCTTTATTACCACGGCACAGTTCTCTTTTTGGTCACCATTTCTTACCTAGATCTGTGTGTAGAACTCAATTATCTTCTCTCTGTATGTAAATGAATTGTTTTCTATTACCACTATATATGGAAAAGAGAAATCAGATATAACTAAGTAGGTAGGTGCAGACTCATCTGGTAAGAGAAGCCTCTGAAAGGTCACCCAATCTCTGGGACCAAAGGTTCAGAGGCTGCCCTTAAACAATCTATGACAAGTAATTTCTTCTAAAAATTATACCACCTTCTATGTATCTTGCACTTCACAGGTCACAAAATCCTTCCATATATATTGTCTCATTTGAGCCTCACAGCATCTTATAAGGTTGGTAGGTGAGTTATTAATATTCTTAATGTTCCTGATTTACAGAGACTAGGCTGAGGCTCAGAGTGGTTGAGTGACTTCCCAAAGGTCACACAGTTAATAAGTGTCACTTGAACCCAGGTATTCTATTACTCTAATTCTCTCTTCTATTCTGTCACGCTTCCTTTAGGAATCTCTAACAAGGTCATTCAATAACATTCCTTCATTATAACCCCTCCAGGGTTCTCATAGTCTTAACTACCAAGGAAATTCTTTCTCCTGTCTAGCAGTAAAAACCAGCAGGCATCTGATAAGACCTAAATCTCTCAAATAGCTGATGGATTGATTCAGAAACTCCCACTCTCATTCCTCTGCTCCCCTCTCAAAAGAGACAAACAGAAACAAATCTCCAAGGAGAAATATTGATGAGACCAATATGGTCAAATCTACATCACTAAGAAGCAGCTTTTTGGGAAGCCTATCTAAATTAGCCACTATTTCTGAAAATTGACATTTTTGTTTGGGGAGCATGACAATTTCTTCTCAGAAATTCTAGGGTAGTGAAAAATACCCTGTGCTTTATTCAAACAGATGCTCTACCACTGAAATGTGGTCTGAGGAGTTACTGTGAAGTTTTGACCTTGAAAAACCCTAATGAAAAAATAGGTAGTTCTCCAATAAGAGAATCATTCAAGTCTCTGGCACCAGCTCTGCCAATAAAAAAAAAAAAGGTACACAGTGTCCTAGTTCAGACTCAACGCACCCCACCCCACGAGAAGTCTTACGGAAAAGTTTTATTAAAGACATTTTAAAAGCTTTATTGCTGTCTTGGGCTTTTTATCCTTTATACCACAGTTATGTCCACCCACGTCAAGACTGAACCCTTCTCCATGTAACAGAGAAAAAAAACCAAGCGAAAACACCTAATACAGAAGTCAACTACCAACATACTGTCCTGTAGTAACCTAACTTCACTGCTATGAGGGAGGAGGCAGTAAGAATTTCATATTTTTGATAATATATATAAGGGAGAGAAAAGATGGGTAGTTCTACAATGAGAGAATCACTCAAATCCCTCCTGCCAGCTTTTCCAAAAAAGCATGTGATAGGAAGTAGAAGAGCAGAGAACCAATTCAGTTGGATTATTATTATTTTTTAAAATTAAGTATTAACTAAAACACATGAGGAATGAGAAGAGAAGACTAGCAGAACATGCGTGAGCAGAACAATTGGGAAGATCTGAGAAAAGATGCTTATTTTATTTTGAGTCATTATTAGGGTAACTAAGCATTTTAGTTTGAAATACATTCCCACCACTATATTCCTCTCCTAAAACTCCGAAGTTTATCTTGGCTGTGAGAATCCTCTAAACATACTGACACCCTGGAATCAAATCCTAAATTTGTTTCTTTGTTTGTTTGTATTTCCCATACTTCATATTCACTCAGAGAGGGAATCTTTATGGCAGGAAATATTACAAGAAGTAACTCTAGTTTTCTTTTCATTTTTCTTGATATGACAACTATGTTACTAAGTCGCACTGTCAATGACAAATTCTTAAATCATTGGATATATATATAGAGAGACGATAATCTTATCAGGCTAAATCTTTTATAATTTGGAATCCACTCTACTGCATCAGTGATTTATGGAGACAGATACCACAGTTTCTCCAGCAGTTGGGCACCACTACCTATGAAATCAAAGTGCTCGACAACAGGAGAACATGACCAGAGGTGTGCATTTTTTTTTTTAGGCAATTGGGATTAAGTGACTTGCCCAGGGTCACATAGCTAGTAAGTGTTATGTGTCTGAGGCCACATTTGAACTCAGGTCCTTCTGACTTCAGGGCTGGTGCTCTATCTACTGTGCCACCTAGCTGCCCCTAAACGCCAAGCATATTTTTGGTTAGGCAATGGGGTTAAGTGACTTGCCCAGGGTCACACAGCTAGTAAGTGTTATGTGTCTGAGGCTGGATTTGAACTCAGGTCCTCCTGAATCCAGGGCCAGTGTTCTACCCACTGCATCACTAAGCTGCTGGGAGGTGTGCATTTTTTTTTAAGGTCATGTAGATGCCTTTTTGAAATTCAAATTCATTTCAACATACATCTTGTTCTCAAGAGAAAAAAAAGAAAATATTTTCAACATACCAATGGCAGGACCTCCTTGCTTCTTCTCTTCCAATATGGCTGCAAGATCTTTGTGTCTTGACTTATGTGGCTGACTGGCTGTTTGTTCTCCTTCTGCACCTTTCACTTTTAAAAGCTGATTAGCCCTCTTAATCTTCTGACTGTATTGTCTTGCCATCAGAAAAACTCTGCTTTTGGTTTTATCTGCACTGTTCATTCTTAAGTCAGAACTCTCAGGGTCTGTATGGGATAAACTGCTATTAATTGATTCACAAGGGCTTTCTATGGAAGGCATTTCACTGGCCAGAGAAAGTCTATTAAGATTCATTAATGAGTTTTCTTTGTAAAGCATATCTTCTTCAAAAGGGAGGTTGGTCCTGCTTAACCTCATAGCTTTGTTTTTTACAGGCTTAAGGAAAACAGGGTTTTCTGGCAGGGAGAGAGTAGATATTGCATAGTCTGTATCTTTACTGAGTTCAGGTGTGCTTCCAGCATGTAACCTTTCTTGGATATCATCTTTACTAACAGGAAATGCAGCAAGGAGGCGGTCTCTCGTTTTCTCTTCATTTTTCTTGATGTAGTTTTCCAAGTCATTCCAAATTTCATCTACTTCTTCTGACAGTTTATCAGCTACAGACTTGTGAGACAGGGAATCAGAGTTTGAAGAACTGTATAGCAAACTTAAATAATCATTCTCCAAGGGACCATGACGGTAAGGTGTTTCATCTTCACTGAACTGGAGGCTCTCCTCAGAAACAAATGGGCGCAAACTGTCACAACAGGCAAAATCTGTCTCCAGCCCTAAAAAGCTGCTCCGCTTTGCACATTTTAGGGTAGTTGCATTTAAAATCCAGTAGCGGTGGTTCTGGGAGCTGTATAGTGTCATATATATTTTCCTCAGTAATGCTGAGCTCATGCGAGCTTAAATTGGAGGCATCTCTACTGGATAGAGTTCTATCTCTTTTTTCTGGCAGAGTGACATTATCTTGACCTTCTTGCTTCTGGGGGGAGGCTAATAAGTCTGGGCTGCTTTGATGGTGTACACCTTGCACAGAGTCTATGTTTGATCTCTGGGGAATATATTCAGGCCCATCCCTTTTGGTAAAACCCATCCGTTTTAAATCTTCATAACTTATATTATCATAGACGTGGTCTATGTCAGGAAGGGGCAACTCTGTATCAAAGTAAGTCTTCCCGTCACTTTCTGTTCTAAAACCTCTTTCTACCTCCCTCTGTGAAGCATGCTGAACATTCTCACTGTCTCTATTTCGTGCTTCTGGTAGACAAGTATTGCTTTCACCAGCACTGCTGGCCCGCCTGACAATCCTGTGACCAGCATTGGTGATACCTGGATCCCTGGATTGTATCTGTCCCAAGTGCCAACTACAGGGTCGACTGGAACCATTACTCTCCTCACAGAGCCTGGTGGAATGCAAATCAGATGAAGATAATGATGGCAAAAACATATGGTAATCATCTTCATCCTCCTCATTCTCTCTTGAGGTGAGCGTCTACTGGGAAATAGGGCTTGCCTGATCTGGTGATCAGTCCAGATGTTTCTCACACCAGCACCACCACCTCCCAGGACATTCAAAAGGACTGGGTTATTTTGCTGAGAGGTCCGCTGTGCTGGGGGATTTCCAGCTGATGTAGAACGTGGAAGGTCTGTAATTAGTGATGAAGGTGCTTCTTCATCATCCTTGGAAATCTGAAAAATATTTGAGATACAATTGAACGAAAGTCACAGGAAAAACAAAATGCGATTTTAAAAATATTATTTATACTCAGTCTTCTCAATGGATTGTAAACTCATTGAGCTCAGGGACTGGCTTGTATTTCTTTGTATCCTTCACAGTACCCTGTAGGCCCTGCAAGCAGTAGGCACTATCTATTGCTTTTAGTTGAATTTAAAACATTTTAAATAGCCTCTAGGACAGTATTATTAGGGAGAATTTAGGTTAAGTTTTTATATTGTTCAGTTCAGAATTTGGTCTTAACCCAGGAACATCTAATATGCATTTGATATTTCTCTACTTTTTGACATTTTCAACAACATGGCTAGTTAATCTTTTTCTACTTCCTTTTGAGTCTTATTGGGAATTTTGTTGCATGCCCCATGGGAAGAAAGAAGATTAGACTATTACTAATGAATAATTATTTTTAATAAACTTTTGAATTATTGGTAAAAGTAAATAAAGCTATAGGGGCAAAGAGTAGAATTTAAATGTTGAGGAGAGAGCCCACATGCTCTCCTGTTTCCTCCTTGTCATCTGTATTTATCTGTTTAATAGCTTCAAAGCTGAGCTTTAATCCTGATTACTGCTATAGGGTAGTTCAAGAAACGGTTAAAATAGATTATCTAGGGTGCTTTGGTCAAATAAACTATCTCTGTGATGCCACCAAAAAAAAAATCCTGAGAAGGACATTATATCAGTAAATAAGCATTTTTTAATTGTTGTTTAGCAATTTTTTCAGCCCTGTCCGACTCTCTGTGATCCCATTTGGGGTTCTGGCAGAAATACTGGAGTAGTTTGCCATTTCCTTCTCCACAATAGGCATTTATTAAAGATCTACTACATTTCAGGCACTGTGCTAAGTGCTAGGGATACAAAGAAAGGCAAAAGACAATTCCTGCCCTCAAGGAACTCACAATTTAATGGGGGAGACAACATGCAAAGTACAAACAAGCTATACACAGGATAAATGAAAAAGAAGAGAGAGAAGTGGGATTGGGAAAGGCTTCCTGTAGAAGGTGGGATTTTAGCTGGGATTCGAAGGAAGCCAGGGAAGTCCGGAGGTAGAGCATTCTAGGCCTGGGGGACAGCAAGTAAAAATGCTGGGAGCCAAAAAATGGAGTGTCTTGTTCCAGGAAGAGCAAGGAAGCCAATGAGAGTATATGGAAGGAGAAGATGTAAAAAGATTGGAAAGGTAGGTGGGGAAGCTAGATTATCAATAGCTTTGAACAACAATAAAGGATTTTTGTATTTGATCCTATGGGAGGGATAAAGATTAAACTGTTACTAATGAATAATTATATTATGTGATGATCCTGATTGGCTGCCTGGGGAGAACAGCTTTCCTTCCATACAAATCTGCTTTAAGAAAATACAGTGGAGAAATAATCATGTCATCATAAAATGGGTTACTTCATAAAACGGGTCTTTATTTTTTCAAAGGTTCATAGCAATTAGATTTTCAATGTGATCAATGTATAAAAATCTTGAATAAATTAAAATATATAGCACACTCGATCTTGGGAGTGTTGAGCTGTAGTAGGCTAAAACAAAAAGGGGATCTGGCATTAATATGGTGAGCCTCCAGGAGTGAAAAGCCACCCGTTTGCCTAAGGAAGAAATGGCCAATGTCAGAAACTAAGAAGGTCAAAGTGCTTTTATTGTTCAGAGTGGAATTAGGTTCCTGAGTAGTAGCTTAGACTTAGAGTCTAAGCTAGAAAGAAAGACCTAGTCTTAAAAATAATAAAGTAAAATAATAAAAAAAAAGATTGTGCTAAGCAGAAGTAAGAAAGAGCTAATATCCTTATATCAGGAATATAATTTTTTTAAAAGGGCAAAAGAGCATGTACAACTTACATTTTAATTTGAACAATATAGAAGTCACAAACAGAAAGTTTCCAAGGGTTCTTTAATCAACTAAATCTCTCTGCAGTCATAATGGGATTAACAATTCTAGATTATACATGCATGGGATATTCAGTAGATGGAACAGTAATAACAACTTTGAATTTGCAACTTCCAATCTTTATACAGAAGAGATAACGATCTCCCCTACTCCTCACTGTATCTTCTAAGAGGAGAAACTTAAAGTAATATGATGTCATGTCTTTATCTCACACTTCCTCATAGCCCAAATGGCAGCAATAGGAACTTGTCCACAGAAGGTGGCTCCACAGCACTCGGAATAAGCAAAGACTTCAAGTTTTTTTGTGTGGACACATTTTTTCAACGTGGTGTATCACATGACCTTTTTATTCTGAAATAAAGTAGCCACTAACTAGAGTGCACTGTGGGATAGACTGCAGGAATGCAGTCATGGTGGCTCCTAGAATTTGGGAGTAGCAAGAAGGGTATACAAAGATGGTTAAAGGACATGGGGGAAATACAGGGCAGAAGATAGGGAAGGAAGATAAGAAGGGAAGAAGGAAGGGAGGAGGGAAGGGAGAAAAGAAGGAAGGAAGGGAAAGAGGGTTAGGGAGAAAGGAAGAATTTATTATGTGCCTATTATGTTCCAGGTACTTAACAAACATTATCTCATTTGATCCTCACAACAAACCTGAGAGGTAGGTGCTAGTATCCTCATTTTAGAATTGAGGAAACTGAGACAGACAATGGTTAAGTGATTTGCTCAGGGTCACAGAGATAGTAGGTGTCTAAGATTGGATTTGAACTCAGGTCTTCCTCAGTTCAGACCCAGGTCTCTATCCATTGTACCACCTAATTCTTTGCTTGGAACAACTTTAAAGGCAAACATCTTGTTTACTGTGAAGGTAATATTGTACCCAAGCTAGGGCTTGGGTGTATGAAGTAAACATTACACAAAGCAAACATGAAATGTAGCAAGTCTTACCTTTCGTATATCTTGTGTTGTTTCTGGGGAAAAATTTTTAGAAATTAATAATTCAGTAATTACTATATCTTAGCAAATATTAATTAGGCTATGGATGTCTTTAATTATGACTCCTTTCATCACCCACTGGTACCCAGCAAGGTTCTTTAAACAAAAACTTCTAGAAATACCTCAGTGACCCTGGTAATAAAGCCTATACCATATAGTGCACCATAAACATTAAGTTAAGCATTCTAGGGAATCCTGAATTTTTTTTTCTGAATGGTTAAATGTATATCAACTTTACTTTTGAAAGTAATCATGGCATAGTGGAGAGAATTCTGGCTTAGAAACCAGGAGGATCCAAGGTTTAAGTACTGCTTTTGACAAACACTGGCTGTGAGACCTTGGGCAAGTCACTCAGCTTCTCAGATCTCTGAACAACTCTCTAAGGTTCTAAGGTGCAAGGAAACTGCTGACCTGTATTGGTAGAGAGAGTTTCCTCTTCTGGGAGGTCTCTGCACACCAATGAAATTCACAGGTCCTCTCTCTATACCTAAGATGAGAGGCAGCATGGCTTGACCAATTGAGAGTCAGGTTTGGAGTTAGGAATACCCAGGTTTAAGTCTTGCTTCATAAATACCAATTACATGATCTTGAGCATATTTTTTTTTCCTCTCAGTGTTCCAGAACCTCACTAAGGCAATAAATTACAAATAAGGAACTGATATAGATTGTTGTGGGGGAGGCTACATACCCAGAGTTCGCTAAGCAGATGAAATTACAGGTCTGGACCAAAAAATTTTAAAAAAAACCCAAAACAAAAAACATAAGAATAAATATAATAGCCATACTTTCTGACTCACCACTGGATTTCAAAACCTTATGCACTCTAGAGGAAGGTTCTGGAAAAAAAAAGCCATTATCACTTTCATGAAAAACTCAAATAATGTTTTAGAAAAAGTAATCACTCAGCCATAACACTGGTGTATTCTTATTTACCTGCATATCCAATCAATAAATAAACATTTATTAAGTGTCTACTATGTACCAGGCACTATGCTAAGAGCCAAGAATACAAAAAGAAGAGAAAGACAGTCCCTGCCTTCAAGGAGCTTACAATATAAGGGAGGAGACAATACATACATAAAAACAAATAAATAAATAATAAAAACACACACACACCCCTATATATGTGTGTGCAAGTGTCTATACACACACACACAGAGTGGATATAAGCTCTGTAATGTCTATAATTAGCCACTTAAATATGCTAAAGCTTCCCTTTTTCACAGGGGAACCAGGTAATGGAGCAGCACAACAAGTAGCCAGTTAATACTTCTGAAGTCCAGGGCTGCTTGACATACCAGTGATTCTTTGTGGTGAACTTAAAGATACCTGCAACTGCTGAAACCAGTCTTGACCAGTTCAGAGACCGCAGCAGACATTTTGCTTCCTAACTTATCTAAATAGCAGCAGAAATCTTGCTTCCTGATTTGTTGTGTTCGCAGATGTCTTCTCCCCCACTGCCCTGACTCACCCATATACTGTATTTCTCCTTTAACCCTTTACTTAGCCATGAATACCTCTAATAGTCATAAATACCTCAAATTTGTATAAATACTTCGCCCTTTTCCCACACCCCTTTCAGCAGTTGAGAACTTGTGTCTCTGCTCCAGCTCACAAGCTCCTTCTTCTCAGGCAACAAATGCAGTTAGAATCTTTGTAAACTGGGATTGGACTCTGGCTCATTCTAGGTCACCCTTTTTGGACCTGGGGTTTCTTCTGTTTTAGTAGTTCCCAAGAGTATTTATTTTAACAACACACACACACACACACAAACAAGCTATATACAGTTTAAAGAGCAAAGAAGTAGCAGAGGGAAGGTACTATAATTAAAAGGGACTGCTTGGAAACATTTAACAATAACCCACATCTAACTTTGGCAGAAATGTGAAATAAATGTCAAACCCTGAAGCCAGTCAGCTTTGTTCACAGCAGACATGTAAAACACTAAGTCATTTTACCCAGCACACCAAAAACTCAGAATAAAGAGACAAAAAGAGACCACAGAACCCTAGAACTCCAGAGGACATCAGGAAATATCCTTCTAGGTCAGCAAATGATGAATACTCAAATGACCTTCAGGATCCAATTTAATTGATTTTCTTTACTATGATGAATCACTGATTGAGTAAATGTGGCTGCCCTCAACATATTATTTGTTAAGCACACATGCTTATTATTCCATGCCATGTATAAATTTGTTGTATAAATTTCTGTCTAATATTAATAGCCCTTTACAATCTTGTTTTGACATATCTTTTCAGACTGATTTCATTTTACTCTCTCTCTCATATCCTCTATGTTTACAGTTGAATCGGTCCACTCATTGTTCCCATACAAAATACTCCTCCATGCTTTGACTTGCCTGGAATGCTCCCCGCCATTCACCTCTGCTTCTAGGAACCCCCAGCTCCTTTCAAGACTGAGCTTCTATCACCTTCTCCATGAGGCTCCCAGTTGTTAGTATTTGTCCATCTTTTGTCTCAATTCTTACCTAGCCCCTAGTCATTGAATGGGTGTTGCCTCAGACAAACTGAACCTTGGGAAAGACCTTCACTTAGAAAGGCCAAGGTCACCTACTGCATCCTGGGTCATTGCCAGTTGTCTTGACTCTGTCTTGCCACTGGACTTTGATGATTCTGGAGGAGAAACTGAGGCTTTGTGTAGCTCTGCCTCACTTAAATCCAATTAAATTCAATTCATGAGCCAGTCAAGATATCACTCTGGTGATATCACTGCTAGTCTTCCAGAATGAAGGATGAACAACAACAACTTTGTAAGCATGTTGTATTTACTTATCTGTGTATATGTTTGGGGATGTTTTGTTTTGTCTTTGTATCCCCAAACACCTGGTAAAGTGATTGACAAATATCAAAGGGGCCTCTGCATACCCTGCTTCTCAGATTTACCTGCCTGATATTTCAAACTGACCAAGAATTAGGAGTTAAGAAAAAATGAATAGACTGACTAGTAGTAAGACTGCACTTGGGAACTGCAAGGAAATTCATGACTTTTAAAAATGAAAGAGGCTATTGTTACCTGGGATCCCTATAGCAACTACATTCTGAGTGATCTGGTGGCTTGGCAGATGAAGATGGTGCCTTAACTGGTGATGTGCTGGAAAGAATACTGGACTTAAAAAGCAGGGACTTAAAAAGTTAAGTTAATAAGTCCTTCTGTAAATAAGCAGACTGGGGTAGATATTTAAGATAATTTAAGTAAACTAGTTGTTTATTTTTCAAAAGGTTGTACAAATGTGTGTACAAATTATATTTCTTAATTTGATTATACTTCCAACTTATCCCTATGAAATGCAACACTGTTGAGAAAAAGGGGAGGAATGCAACTTAATTTTTTAGGTAGATTACATCAAATACTCAGCTAATCACACTTGCAATATTACCATGAAGGCAGGTTTTTAATTTTCAAGTTATTAAAAAAAAAGCTTCAGTGCTTCCTCCCCTTCATGGACGAGATGGGAGACAGAAAACTGCATAGAATGATGACAGACTAAGATGTTTAGTTTGACTGAAATTGTTTCTCCCTCAGACCTTTTTTGCTCTTTATTATTAGAGCTGACTTCCTGAGCTGGGGAGGGGAGAGGGAAGATATTCAGAAATGAATTTTTAAAATTTGGCAGAAAGAAGTTATTTAAGAAGTTAATATAAAAACAAAAGACATCAATAAAAATTAAAAACAAAAATATTGAATATACTTTTTAAAATTTTAGGAGGATGAATTCATTCCTTTTAAGTCCAAAAGGCCCCTGGTAGGGGCCTTCTACTTTAGAGAGTTTTAAGTACTCACCATCTCATGAGACTGGGTAATAACCTGCTTTTAGAATTTCATTAAAATGCTGGCTAGCAAATAAATGTGCTTAAAAAAATTTCTGTATCTATTTGCATATTTTCCATCTATCTTGATATTATCTCTTTGATATCTACCATCTGAAATGTTGGCTACCATTCTGAGTTAATGATAGTTGAGTACTGGGCAAGAAGAAGGAAAGCTCTCAACTAACAGTTATTTCTAAACTTCAGACTGTTTGTTTAGGAAGATGCCAAGATCTTGAATATAAAGTATGTTAAAAGCAAAATTACTACCAATGAATATAACATGATTCTTAGCATCAGGCTTATATAACATGGTTCTTAGCATCAGGCTCTCAACTTTTTGGTTTCTGACTTTCAGGAGTGCAACAAGTTCCTATGTGTTTCAAGAATAAGCACATTTGGTAGTGAAGGCCACATGGAAGTGAGCTGTTCTTTCCTCACACAAATAAAGTGGAATAAAGCCATCCATTTTGAAATTGTTGCCAAAAACTCCACAAGGCAGATGTTGTTTATAGGCTTCTAGAAGGCCAGGCTCACAGGAAGGAGACCAAAAAGCTTCCAGCCTTTTCAGGGTTAATTTATGAATCTCTCCAATTTATATTTTAAGATATAATCTTAGGCACTACTGTCTAGCTAGAATGACCATAGTTTCCAAGTCTGTAGGGTATAGACTTCTCTTTTACCAAAGACCAGGTCTCACCCATTTGAAGGCCTTACCCCATGTAGGTGAGAGAGCTACAGTTGATACTTCCCACCTGCCTGTCATTGTGAGAGATTGTGATACTAAAGAGTAAAATAGCCAATTTACCAGATTTTCTTCTCAGGCGATGGGGAGCAGTGCCTTCTTTCGAATAAGAAAATGCCTTCATTTCTTTCTCAGGACTGTAGTAGAATCCTGGATGATCTGTAAGATACCCATACGTTTCAATTAGAATACAAGATTCTGAGATACACCAAATCACTGTCATCATTAATCTGCTGCAGGATTCCATGAGTTCATTCCCATTCTGCAGACAAAGAAAAAGAGAAAACTGAAAATCAGTGAGTGGTTATTGTCTTTCATAGGGCTTTTCTATTTGTTCACAGTAGGCCTTTTAAGAACTTTACAGAGAATGCAAGCCTTGCAGGAAAAGTGATCACATATTTGGCTCTACTCCAAAACTTCCTGGAGAGTTCATTAAAATGGGCCAGGCACAAATGTCCATTCTACTGTAGCAGCTGGAAGCCTCTGCAGGCCTCAGAGCACTCACAAACTCCACTTATACAAATAAGAAAACTTGTAGCTGATATTTAAAAATGACTTTTACTAAAATGTTGGTTGGAATGAAACATGGAAAAAAAAAAGAGTCCTAGGACTGACAAACAGTAATGGTTCAAAAGCTATCCTTCTTACTTTACTATTTCTGCCTATACAAATCTATTTCTGCCTGGTACAAGTCATTCATCCTGTCTCCCGTGTTAGAAACTGTTCAAACATCTTGGAACTCTTCCTTCTTCCCTCTCATATATGATGTCCTATTATTTAATTTAATGTATTTATTTTCTTTTAAAAATATTATTTATTTATTAACATTCTTTTCTTTTTGAGTTCCAAATTCTCTCTCTTTCTTCCACCCTCCCCCAACCCACTGAGAAGGCAAGCAAAATGATATCAATTATACATGTGAAATAATACAAAACATATTTCCATATTAGCCATATCATAAAAAAAAAGGTAAAATTGATACTACCTCCCCATCTCTCCCATTTGCCCTTTCTTCTCTATTCCCACTGCCACTTCCCTGGACAATTGCAAAAACATATTTTGTCACCTTCTCCTGCCTCCACTGGGACTCTGCCAGTGCCCCGTTCCCCCCACATTAACATCCTTCATAAAACTGCTAGAATAATCTTTCTTATATAGAGATCTGGTCATATCACCCCTCTATCCAAACCTTCAGTAACTCCCTGCTGCCTGAGAAAAGTTGAAACTATTGTCTGGCATTTTAGACCTTCTCTTTCCTCTAATCTAGTATCATTCTATTTTGCAAGCCTAATTTCAGACTCCTCCCCTCCAGCCAAAATGGACTCTCCCTTCCTCTAACTCAAATGTCATCTCCTTCATTAGTGGCTCAGTTGGCCTTCTCTGAGTTTACACATAACTTTAATTCTGCACCCTTCTAATGCACTTGCCATATAATGTGTGCTGTAGTTTTCTCTGTGTCCGATGCTCCCATGAGACAGTAAGTTCCATGAGGGCTAGAAATTGTATCTTTTCTAATCTTTGTATCTTCTGAACACAACACTGTACACGGCACATAGGAAGCACTTGATAAATGTTTCTTAAAGCTGCTGAATGTCCCACCTGGGTGTAGATATTACACTAGATACAATGTTCAACAGTACCCTTATATCAAAGACTAAGAAATTTTAAGATACAGTCTCAAACCAGTATTTCCCCAATCAAACTATACCATGAATTGGCAATATAGTATATGTGTGTATACAGATACATATATACATACACATCTATACACTTGCATATATGCACAGTTATATGTATACATTCACATATATTATACACATATAAAGTTTTCTACCTTAGTCTATTTTACCTTTCTCATAGAGCTTGTAGCTCTATGGGGGATTAGTATCTTGGGAAATAAGAGGAACAGAGAGAAAGGGGAGTTAGTTTTAAAAACACATATGTCTTAAAAAGACGTAGCTAGGTGGCATGGAAGATAGTGTTGGACCTGGAGTAAGGAAGACCTGAGTTCAAATCCAGCCTCAGATACTTATAAGTTATATGACCTTAGAGGGCATATCACTTTTTCCTCAACTGTAAAATGAGGATGATAATAGCATCTATCTTGCAGGGTTATTGTGAGGATCAAATGAGATAATATTTGTAATGTGCTTAGTGTGGTACCAGGTACATAGTAGGGACTTAGTAAATGCTTATTCCCACCACCTCCTCAAAAGGGCCTTTGGTAAGAAAACTCTAGCACACTGGTATGTTAACCCTGGACTAGTGCCAATCCATGAAACAGTAATGAGAAAACATTACTCCAGAAATCACTACTTCAGACTCCTATGCCTCTTATCAGTTGCCAGGTTTTCCAAAGATATAATAAGTTTAGAGACAGGTTTGAAGTTAGATCTGCAAAGCTCCAAAATATGAGCCACTAGACACAAGTGCAAATATAAGGAGCTGTGTGAATGAGGCAACCTATGCTACCATACCCAGAGCAAGCTAAGTCAGGGCAACTGTCCTTAGGCTATGAAATTCGGGGCTAGCAGAGGTAGTGACTTGGGCACAAATCGTGGGGTCTACTGGAGAAAGACAGAGGCATCACCAATTGGAGCTTTAAAAAAGACTTAAAGTGATTATATAAGCATAATTCAATCAACCTAGACTGGTTGGTTTTGCTATCACCATGACCCGCATCTTCTCTCTTCAAAGTTGCTCTTAATGTTTATTTTCAATATATTTTACCTGGTTAGAAATGGGTAGCATAGAGTACAATATATTCTCATCCCACACCCAACCAGTGTAGAACAATCTACAGAGGGTCTTGTTCTCAGATCTTTTCCATACTAAGGAAGTTAGACCAAAAGAGATCTCAAAAATATGTTGGATAATGACGGTGCTCATAAGACAAACTATTGATTTTTTGTTGAGGGATCATATGCAGCATGAAGAGGAACAAACTGATATAATGAAAATAACATTGGCCTTTATAATCAGAAGACCTGGGTTTGAATCCAAATTGTACACCTTTAGAGTTGAGTTACTTTGAGCAAGTGGCTTAAATTCTTTAGGCTTCAGTTTCCTTATCTCTAAAGTGGGTAAAATTAGACTAGTATTATTTACCTAACAGGGTTGTTGTGGGGATCAAAAATTATAATACATGTAAACCAGAAAACAACATGTAAATACGTGTCAGCTGTTATGACGGTGGCAGGGGCATAAAAATAATTCCTGTAGAATAAAATAGTGTGATACCAGTGCTTGGGATGAAGGTACTAGAAGGATACAGTCAAGACTAGAAAGCTTTACATTTTCTACTTTCTCCCACAGTTAATCACGGTTAATTTCCTAAGGAAAGAAGAATCTGATATAAAGAGTTAAAGTTATACTTTAAAGAAAAAGGTCTAGCTAAGGGCTGAATCTGGGCTATGTGAAGAAGGAGTTTGAAAACAGGTATGAAAAAATGCTTGGTAAGCACCGGCCCTGAAGTCAGGAGGACCTGAGTTCAAATCTGGCCTCAGACCAAACATTTGACACTTACTAGCTGTGTGACCCTGGGCAAGTCACTTAACCCCAACTGCCTAAAAGCAAAAAAAAAAAAATGCTTGGTAGCCATTGAATTTTTATAGTGTGCCTACACAGAGTGAAATAGTAATGAGACAGCTGTCTAATTGGTAGGATTCTATAAAATCTAAATCTAAATAATTATCTAAATAAATTATAAATAATAAGTAAATAAATATAAATATTAAAAAATAAATAATTATCTAAATAGAATCTAAATCTAAATAATTCAGCAGCATCTTCTACTCTACAAAAAAAAGCTTACATTTTTCTTTAGGGCCCTTTTAAATACTGCCTAAACTGTTGACAAATAAAGGAACAGCCACAGTTGGCTAGCCATCAACTGATTCACAGATAAACTGGAAATGAAAATGTTTGTTTTCGGATTTTTAGGCACAGACATAGGGCTTTATAGCCCTATTTGCCATCTCAGTGATTACAGAGAGACCGTTTTCTTCCTGTAGATGTTCCATTGATTTTTAAAGCTATTGTACTTATTGAATTTTAATTTAATATGCTGCATATTTTGTTCTTAAGAAAACAAAACTTACGAATGGCATCCATTTCCAGAATTGCTTGCTTGGCCTGAAAAATAGAAAATATGATCATTAATTGCTAATTTTTTGCTTCAGGTGCTAAACCTAATACAGATCTCAGTCCTACTGATTGTTTCATAAATATAACATATTTATGTCTTTAAAAAAGTTACTCATGGTAAGAATTTTACTCTAACCTTTATATATTAAAAGCTCAACAAAATTGCATAGTTTTGGTGGTTAAATATTGGGAATATTTATCTCTTCATACACTATGAAGATGGATTCAAATACTCTTAAGAGACAAGGTATGCAAAAATATATAGTACATATATACATATATAGTAATATAACATAACATAATATAATATGACATGATATGATATTTTGGTAGAAACATAGGCCGAATAACTGTTGCCTCAGACCATCTGAGACCTGGAAAAGACCTTAGCTTAAAAAGGCCAAGGTCTCCCACTGCATCCGGGGCCTTTGCCAGTCATCCTGACCTATTTCTTGCCACTGGACTCCAAAGACTCTGGAGGAGAGGGTGAGGTTGATGACTTTGTACAGCATTGCCTCACTTAAATCCAGTTCACTTGCCAGTCAAAACATTACCCTCCTGATGTCATCGGTCCTCTTGCAGAAGGAAGGACAAACAACAGGGTTGCAGACAGAAACAGGAATTTGTGTTCTAGTTAAAAGGCAGTATGGGTGGTATAGTAGAAAGTGTTTTGGGTTTGAAGTCAAACTTAACTACTTAACTACTTAACTACCTATGTCACTTTCTGCAAGTCACTTAATCTCTGGGTCTACTTTTCCTCCTTTATAAAATAATAAAGTTGAATTAGATCATTAAGGTCCCGCCCAGTTTTAATTTTTTCCTCATCAATACTGGTAGTAGTGATCCCATAAACAGCAATATTGGAGGGAATTCTAGAATACTGTTTTCTCCCTCCACCTCCCACCCCCAATACCACCCAGGGGCTCCCATGCTGCCCAAACCAATCTTATATCCTTTCCCCATTGCTTATTAGTGGCACAGTAATAAGAGGGGATGGGCAGATAGGTGGCACAGTGGATAGAGTGCCAGGTCTAAACTGTATTTTCTCCTCTGTTATATTTCAAATACCACCCCCTTCATGAGGCCTTTCCTGGTCCCATCAGTGGCTAGTACTGTACCTATATATGTGCGTGTTTTCTCTCTTATTAGAAACTAAGCCTCTTGAGAGTAGAATTTCAATTTTGTCTTTGTATTCCCAGTTCCTAGCACAGAGCCTGACATAAAAGGCACGAAATAAATATTTGTTGATTGATTTCCAGAATTAGAGAAGTTTGAAATGCTATTCCCATATTGTCCACTAGGTGTCAGACGTGAACTATCTTTGTGCTAAAGGAGTAGAAAAAGCTAACCAAGGAATTTCCAACAATCGCATGCTCTTTTTAATTAAGAGGCAGCTGTACCTATAAGGATTAGGACTGGAGGGATGGTTGCACTGGTATAGTGAACTCCTTCATGAAGAAATTCAGGTCATCACCATCTCTACAACTTATAGTCACAGAAAGTTGCTTCAAGTGATTTGCCCAGGGTCACACAGGTCGGACTTGAATCCAGAACTTACTTTGAAGCTTTGAAACTGGATCTCTATCCAGTATGGAATTTCAAAATGTCCCTGATATGTTCGTATTTCATTGGGTAGGAAGAGAAATTTGCTGTTTCCAAAATTTAGCTAAGTTATAAATAATTTAAAGAAAGATAAGTATCAGACTGTTCTAACTTTAGCTTATAAAGTCAAATAGGAAGTGATCATCACTTAGAAGTTAACATTTTATGTTCATTACATAAAGATATTTTAGTAGTTTTGGGGGAAAAAAAGAATGATATCTAAAATGATTAGAAATATGGACTTCCTAAAATTTATTTCAGCCTGTAAGGATACCAACCACTTAAATGGCACCTCCTGTAGGAAACCTTTCCTATTCTCTTCGTTTGCTAGAACCTTCTCATCTAAGATTACTTCCTGTCGACTCTGTATGGATTTTGTATATATCTATTTGGTGACATGTTATTTCCTTCATTAGAATGTAAGTTTCTTGAGGATGGGGACTGTTTTTTGCCCTTCTTCATATCCTCTCTCTCCTTTGAATGAATGCCTGGGATATGGTAAGCACAGATTTGGAGAAAGAAGTGACCTTAAAGGTTTTTTAGTCCAACTGTTCTACATCATTTTACACATGAAGAAACTGAGGACCAAAGACATTCAGTTATACTTGAGGAAGAATGCCTGGCATACCTATGTAGTGTAGGAGAAATGTTTAAGAGGGCATACAAGTGATTATTCTTTTTTGCAACAGGAGTCTGGGATTACTCTTAAGAGTTCTATGAATAATCTTGTCTTTCCCAGGAAACACATACACTATAGGCAGGGCATGTCAGTAACACTATGCCATTGTTCAGAGGGATATCACAAGGCATGAAACTGAAATGATTAATCGCAAGAAAATATAATCATCACTCTCAAATGAACCACCTTGAGTGTCATCATATTCTGTGGAAATGGAACTCACACCCAAAAAGTACACACCTGTGCACATTCACTTCCTGACTGTGAAATGAAAACTGATGGTTCTGAGAAGCTTGAGTGTACACACACACACACACACACAACACACACACACAACACACACACACAGCTACCATCCCCTTTTCACAGTACTTTGAGGACAAACAGAAGTACTCTCCCAAATAGATTAGAAAGTTAGCACTTTTAAGATTCAGAAGCAAAATTGTATGAACCATGAACGAACACCTGAGACCTGGGGAAACACCCTGGGGAAAAAAAAGGCCAGTGGCTTCCCCAAACATAGTCCAAGCCCCACAATATTGTTCGAAATCTCCCTCAAGAGCTCCCAGTCTCCTTTATGTTGCTATCCAATTTTCCCTTTATTATAAGCACCCTACCCACATTGATTTTTCTATTTTGTGGTTGTTGGGTGGTGGGGACTTCCAAATTCATCGCAAACTTCCAGTGTGAAGACTTCTTCCATTGGTGCATGTCAACAGTTCAACCATAGCTTATGCAGCACTGCGAGTTTGCCCTGGGCATTGAGAGGTTAAGTGACTAATACATTACATTGCCTGCATGAGAAGCAGGATCTGCCTGAATCTCAGATCATCCTGACTCAAAGGCTGGCTCTGTATTTGCCATGCCATGCTGCCTTTTTCGTTTTCTAATATTAGTTCTCTAAACACTTTGCAACAACCTTCTTTCTGATCTCGACTAACCCTCCATCCGAAGGAAAGAAAAACTTATGTATCATGTACCAAAGGGGAAAAAAAGTTAAAATAAGTAAATCTTTTCAATATCAACATTAAGTGCTGTTTTTCATGTGTATGCGGTTTTAAAAAATTATACCAAACTACTGTTCTCTGTAATTTTTTTTCAAACTTTAAGCTTCCTGAATGGACAAGTCAAGCCAAGCCCAAGATTCACAGATGGAACCCTCAATAAAAGTAGGCCCAAGAAAGACTCTATCTGCATCCAGAGAAAGAACTGATAAATAAAAGTATATATAAAATAATTTTACATATATACATGTGTATATATGTGTATGTACATGTATGTGTATATATTTATATATCTACACCTATTTGTATCTAGTGGTAGCCATCTCTGGGGCTGGAGCAAAGGAAGGAGAAGAAAAAAAATTACACAATTATTACATTTTAAAAAGGACATAGCAAGTTGTATGTAATAGATTTGCACATTTCATGTGCAATCATCTTTTTAAAAAATTATACTATGTTATGGAAAGGCTCATTTTATCCTACAAATTAGAAATAAAATAAATTGAAAAAAAGAAGATAATCATACTGAGTTGTAGTGGTTAAAAGAATAAAAGTAAAGTTATATACACTGGAATCAGGCTTGACTTCAGGATAGCTCCAGGGTGGGTCAGACTCACCTAGAACATCCATCCACACTCCTGGGGTGGGACAAACAAAGCAACATCTGGGAGTCTGGACACATTGCTTTGCTCCAATCATTTCACCTCTTTGTGAATTCCCTTCTGTTCTCTGGGTGTGTACCTACATTCATGACTCCACTAAATCTGACTATAAGTCCCATTATAACTTATCAGTCATGGAAAACCAATTCAACTAGCTTCTACCTTGACAAGTTTCTCTCTCTTCAGTTTTGACACACAAGTCAGTCTTGTACTTTAAAAGATAATTTTCCTGATATTGAGATAAAACATTTTTTTCTATTTCTTTTTGTGTTTTTCATTTGAATATTTTGTTACTGAAGAAAATATATTTTGATATTGAATAATATTTTATTATTGTATAAAAGTTTAAATGACAACTTTTCTGATTTTTCACTATTCAAAGTAACTTTGGACATGACATTCTAAGAACTATGTGAAAATCTTCAAAACTGCACTGGACTCAGACACTTGACACTTACTAGCTGTGTGACTCTGGATGGGTCACTTAACCTCACATACACATACACACACACACACACAAATTGCACTTGAGCATTCAACAGGTGACATTCCTGTGAAGCGGACAGTATTCACATCTGTAACGTGGTCACTTAAGTCACTGAAAGGTTCTGTGACTTCTCTCAATGTATCATGTACTACTGCCGCAGAAAATCAGGCCTCATGCTCCTGAATTCAGTTTTCTGACTCCCCATACATCCTCTCTTTCAATGTTTCTTTAATTTCAAGTAGAACATTTCTTCTGGTCAGGCTGCATTTCTAGGATTTGAAAATTTTTAAGCTACATTTTTACCTTAGCTGGAATTTTAGCAGCATGGTTTTCTAGGATAAGTCTCTTCAGGTGTAGAATCCAGAGTCGTTTATCTTGTTGAGATTTAGCCTGTCAGGAGCAGATGGGAACAGTAAGATAACTCATGCCTGCAAATCCAGAGGATACTAAGACCAGTGGTTAAGACTCTGAAAAACATTCCTCTAGTGGGAAATTTAGGGGACATATCAGCCGTTTCACAGAGGCCATGGACTATAAACCTTCTCAAGCCACAAGAATCACACAGAAAAAAAAACAGGTGGTTTTTTTTTTTTACCTGCACGGTGTGTTGAAGCTTGGGATTCTTATAATGGAAGACACTAAAACTAAGTGGTTCCTTGGGAATCATTTCCACAAGCATGAGGTTGCCACACTACAATAGAGAGAGTATGAAAAGCCAGTAAGACGCTTTGGGAAGGGAATTGCTTCAATCTCTGTGGCATTCCTAACACCCAGACATACCAGTATGTGAGCTTTGTAGGTAAAGGTTTCTTCTCTCTTCTTTGTGATCAGAAGCAGCTTGTCAAAGAGGAACAATGTTCGCTCATTTTTAGCCCGCTGGAGACGGAACGTTCCTTCCAACACTAGCTCCCCATAGCTGTTCAGGTCTGGGCCCTTCCAGTTAGTCAGCAAACTCTGTATCTCCTGAAAGAGTGAATATAAACATATATATATACATATATACATGCATACATATATATACATATATATATATATATACACACACACACACACACATATATATACATATATAACATTTTATTAAATAGAAGGAAGAAAGTTAAACAATTAACATCAACCAATTCACAATTAATTAATTAACAATTAATTAAATTAATACTTCAAGTATCTGGTAGCATGCTAGGTGAAACTTAATAACATATCTGCCAGTTCAGGGCATCACACAGAGGATTTGTTTTCACTTAAGGCTTAACAAAAATGAAGCACATGGATGGTTATTTAACTGCCAGTACAAAATTGGTCACCTCCCCCAAAAAACCCCACTAGAGCTAATATTTACCCATTATATTTTTCAAAGCCTACACAAAGGGGCTAATATGTGAACTACCAGTGAAAAAAATTACTCTCCTCCCTTCTTGAACTTTTCCCCTTTCCAGATAAATGTCCTAAAGCTATTGATTTGAAAAACTTCCGCTGAAAATTCAATTCCTTCTATTGTACATTGAACTAAAAAATTAGGAGGAAGCAAAGAAGTGGTGTATGGAAATTTTCTTAAACCCTCCCCCTCAAAATAATGATGAAGATAGAGGTAAACCAATAATGTGTTATCAGCCATTCCTGTGAGGAATGCTGGGAGGTAAGAAGCAAGGTTTAATACTCCCTTAACATTTAGCTAGGATAATGCATACTCTAACAATGACAATAAAAAACCAATTCACAGGAAAATTCAATAAAACAAGGAGACAGAGAGATTTTGTAAACTCACCTGTAGCCTGATTGCATGTTCATGTTTCCTCTTCATGTCATTAATGTGCCAGGCTACTCTCTGCATTGTGTCTATGGCCTCAAGCACCACATCATAGCCATCAGTCTCCTTGTCAAGGTGGTTTTCTATTTCCTAATGAAGTCAGCAAAGAACCATCTATTTTTGAAACATTTCTTCCACATATCCTGTTACACTGAGAAGATACCTATGTTATTTTGGGGGGCCTCAGTTTTCTCATCTGTAAAATAAGGAATTCATACTACATGATCTCTAACACCTTTTCCAGCTTTAGCTTTCTATAACTTAGTATTTCACACTACTACTGCATCTCAGCACTAGAATACTGCAATTTCAGTGATAAGAAAAAGCCAGAAAAACCAAACAAGGGAGAACAAAGTATTTCCAATATATCAATTCCAGGGCTGGAGTGATCTTCCAGAAAGAAAGGTATCTGGGGCATGGTAGAGAAACAGATCATTTCATTCTCTCCTGTTTCCAGGTAAGTGTAAGACAGATAGCCAGTGTACAGTGAGAAAGGATAATTTTGCTTCACTGTTTATTATTATTATTATTATAATACTAAGAAATGATCCATTTTATTTCAGAGCAGACAATGTAGCAAGGGGATTCCTTCTACGCTGGGTCTTCCCAACATGGCTTCATTATTTTGCTTCAAGTATTATGGATTTATGAGAGCACATACACAAATCCAATCATAATATACCAACACATGTGACATAGAAAAACATAATTTACTTTTCGTTAGATTTAGCTACTATTTTAAGATTAATCTTGCTACTGATCTTTCTTCTCTCTTCTCCAATCTCTTTCTCACATCTGGTCAAAAAGACTTTTACTATATATTAGCTTCAGCAAGATTTTTTCTTTTTTTAGTGAGGCAGGGGTTAAGTGGCTTGCCCAGAGTCACACAGCCAGTGAGTGTTATGTGTCTGAGGCTGGATTTGAACTCAGGTTGTCCTGACTCCAGGGCCAGTGCTCTCTCTACTGTGCTACCTAGCTGCTCCAAATTCATTTATTTATTTATTTATTCATTCATTCATTCATTCATTGCTTTTTTGGTGAGGCAATTGGGGTTAAGTGACTTGCCTAGGGTCACACAGTAAGTGCCAAGTGGCTGAGGCCAGATTTGAACTCAAGTCCTCCTGACTCCAGGGCCAGTGCTCTATCCATTGCAACATCTAACTGCCCCATAACTTCAGTAAGATTTTATACACATATATATATATATTCTATTGGGAAAAACTGATTTAGATGCTATATTAATCAGGCAGGTAACACTAATGACTAGAAGGTTATAGTGAAAGAGGGAGCTGTTCAGTGCCATAGTGCTAGTCTTGGAAGATGCCATGGTGGGATTGCTGGTACAATTTGACATTTTCAAGACTCATTTAGATGATGGAATAGCCAGTAAGTCCATAGTTGCCAACAGCCCTGCAGGGTTATTAATTCTGAAATTAAGAATACTTGACGATGTGCTTTGAAGGGCAAAGAAGTCCCAAAAGATGAACTTTCAGGGCAAGCACACCTAGCTGAGTAATTCCAGGTGAACAGTCTGTCCTGTTATACAACTGGACCCAAACTGTAATTATGTAATTTTAAAATCACAATCTGGCTTAAACCAATATAGGCTGAAAGCAATCCATTCAGAGGCCACAAAATAATTTTCAAAGAAAAATTTGTAAATTAGAGTCACTTCATCAATAAAATTAGCTTGGGAAGAAAATTAGATGAAAAATTTTAAAATGTGGGTTTTTATGTAGCATAGCTTTGATCTTCCTATCAAAAGAATGAATTACAACATGCAACTGAATATTTTTATAAAGTATTATCATGATCCTTCTGCATAAAGCCTTTCCTGATGCTCCCAACTGCTAGTTCCATCCCTCTCTAGACTCTCACTTTCTTTCTTTCTTCTTTCCTTTCTTTTTTACTTCCTTCATTTTATTTCCTTTCCATCTTCCTTCCTTCCTTCCTCCCTTCTCTTTCTATTTTACTATGTACATTCAATGTTCCCCACCTCCTACCCCCAATAGAATGTAACAAGGACTATTTAATTTTCGTTTTTGTATCATTAGCACCTAGCACAGTGAATGAGAGTCAGTCAGTCAACAAAGTGTAAACTAAGCAGCTATTCTGTGCCAAGCACTGTGCTAAGTAGTGGGGATATAAAGAAACACCAAAACACAAACCCCATTCTCAAGAAGGTCATAGTATGATGGGGAGACAACATGCAAACAACTCTGTACAAGCAAGGTATATATTATATATAGATATATTTAACCTATCAAAATATAAATATATCATGATAGTATAATCTATTAAGAAATATATTTCTAATTAGCTAAAATTAAATATATTATCAATATATTACTATATAGAATTTATCTATATATTATGTAGAGATATTAGAATTTAGATTTTGATATATATATGTATATATGCATATATGGGGCAAGAAGGCAGAGAGAGACAGACTTACAGACACAAACAGGATAAAGTGGGGATAATCTGAGAGGGATGGCAGAATCATAAAGGGAATTGGGAAAGGCTTCCTGTAGAAGGTAGGATTTTAGCTGAGATTTAAAGGAAGCCAGGGAAGCCAGGAAATGGAGATGAGGAGGGAGAGAATTTTAGATGTGGCAGACAGTCAACAAAAATGGCAGTAGTTAGCACATAGTAGGTGCTCAATCAATATTTGCCAATTAAATTCAAATCCACTCTGACTAGAACAGTCTAAATTTCCTCATCCCTAAAGTGAAGGGTCTAGATTACGTGACTCTAAGATGATTCTCTATTACTTGTAGGATATTTTATCTTAGAGACATTTACAATTCATCATAACCTAGCTCCATCATACCCATTTCAGCCATATCATATATCTTGTCCATGTACTCTACAATTCAGCCATGTTAGTCTTCTGGCTGTTTTTCCACATGTAATAATGCCATCTCTTATATCTGTGCCTTTGAACTGGTTAAATCCCATGCCTAGAATGTTCTTCCTCCCACCCACCCTTGCCTTTTGGAGTTCCTGATTTCTTTCAAGACTCAGCCCAAATGCTATATTCAGCATGACGTCTTTCCTTTCTCCCCCCCCCCAGCTATTAGTGCCTTCTCTACTTTGTATGTGTTTTGTATATATGTATATACACATACCAAACACACACATACATACACACACACACACACACACACACACACACACATACACGCACACTTTCTGTTTCCCCCTATATGTTCCCTGAGGGCAAGGAACTCTTGTTTCATTTCTGCCTCTGTATTCTCCAGTGACCAGCACAGTTCTTGGCAGACAAATACTTGTTGATTAATTGATTTTTCCACCTCCAAAAACATTGCACAAAAAAACCTACCTCGCCTTAGGCCTAACTGCTTTGATTATTAGAATATACTGAGAGAAATGATTATGAAGAGAAGAAAATTTAAATTTTCTTGTATTTACAAATCTATCTAAAACAGCATAAAAGCATTGAGAAATAAAACAGGGAAATTTCTTCAAGTATTACTGAGAACAAAATTTAATGAGTTGTTCACTACTCATCCTGTTCCCATTTTTCTCCTTGTCGGTTACTGCCACATCTAATCAAATGCAGGACAAATAAATATCTCTCTTTCCCAAGTCACCTACTAAATCTGGCATGTAGGAAACAATTACTTTCTTTTGGATTATAACTTCCTATACAATGCAGAAGCCACCTAGCAAGATCATGTTGTAGGACATGCCTGGTGGCCGATGACATTTAAAAAAATGTCAAGGGTCTCAAAGAGGCATTGGTAGTCTGACAGGTGATTCTCCCAAGCAAGAGATGAATTACAGAGCCGAAAAACCATCTCATTACTTGGACATATCAACAACACTACATGCTCAGTATTAGTATTTCTAAAACTTCTTAATTAAAATGTATTAGTCAAATGTAAAGTATGGACAAGTAAAACATTTCCACACGTTCTCAGCTTTTTTGTGATTTTTAGTATCAGCTCAAAATGCAAAAAACCAAAAACCCTTTAAACTCCACTCCTGCATATTAAAATGCACTCAAGTACATTAGGCATAAAGAACCGTACAATTGAAGATGCTTACATGTAAAAGCAGATGATACTTGAGGATTCGCTGAACAGGCTTCAAAAGGTATGATCCTAAAGGCAGTGAGTGATGGAGAGTTTCTTGACGTTCTCTGAAGAACTTGGCTACCATTTTGTTCCTCATGCATTCTGTTAGCACAGCTACTGATCTGTAAATAAAATCCATGATGCACAGCGCAGACCCATCAATAACCGAGTTACTTATGAAATCATTTAAGCATGTTATTTGTGAGATGATCATTTGTGAGGCATGAATGGGGGGCATTCTATATCATGGTACCTGGGATTTAAAAGAACAGTCAAACTAATTGATCAACTAATCAGATGATGAGATCAACTGAAATATGTGGCATCTCACAAATTAACTAAGACAGGAATCACAGCCAAATCCACTGACTCCAACCTTCACTGTCTTGTCTGAGGGGTGCAGGTGCAGAAGCGGATATTGGCACCAAACTAAGGAGAAGAGCTGAGAGCTCAAAGGCTCTTTTCTAACAAGGTGCCTCCCTTACGATCATACAAGATTCCTTTATAGAAGAAACCACAGAGATAAATTTGTTTAGTGAGGCTCTCATTATCAGTATCAAGAGAGACATCAAATGAGGAGGAATATGTTTGCCAAAGATGTTCATTATGGGCCTAAAAGATAGCCTGTGGGGTGTCCTAAAAGAAGAGAATTCCGTTGGTCCTCTGGAACGTGTCTGTTTATGGATGCCATTGTATAGATTTAATCTTCAGAATACTACAAGCTTCCTCAATCGTATCCATCACAACCTATGGCGGGAGCGCTATCTTAACATCTCATCCCCTGCAAGTTAGGTTAGTTTTTTCTTAAAGTATTGAAAATATCTTTGAGATTTATTTTGACCAGGGACCTGAAGATGAAGGCTGTTGACACTGCTAGCTGGCCACATAAGTATGAAACAGTTTCAAGGAGTTCCGGGTCTGCTCTGGTGCTTGGCTGAACCACAGTGGTCAATTCAGAGGTAGGGGGGCTTCACTCAGCTGAACTCACTCAGGCTATCCTCAATGCATATCCTTCTTGAATATCTTTCTCTCCCTATGGCTAAATAAGTCTCCGTTAACTGTGAATGAACTCTGAGCATCTCATTTTTCATCCAAAATGGAAGATAAACTACCACAGGACTGGCCTGAGTCAGGTCTAATCTAGGGACACCACTCAAAAAGAGGGGCCTAAGAGTCTACATAGGGAAAACCAAGTAGATGAAGAATGCCTATTCCCCAGGCTTAGAAGTAGTTGGGTGAGCAGTCCACCAGTAAGTCCATCAGCACAATTATACCAGACAATCACTGCAAATGAACAATAAGTTAGGCCCATAACTGAACATGAGAGGACAAGAGGGCTGGATTGCTTTGGGGAAATTGTGCAATATAATATCGAGTTGCTCTGTCTCTTTTTTTTAACACCATTATTACTATGCTGCTAAGAGAGTGCAATGTAGTAGAAAGATGGTTGGCTTTGGAGTCAGGAAGATCCGGGTTCAAGTTCCACCAATACATATTGGGTATATGGCTATAAGTAAGTTACTTAACCAATTATATAAGACTAAAAGTTACAAAGGTGTTATTGATCCATATTGGTAAAAGATGTTTCTATGCTACACTTATGAAATCACAGGCACACATACACTCTTCTATTCAGTCCAACACATTCTTGCAGTATGCAACGCAGCTACAAGTCACAGAATATCATGCATTCCAAATAATCTAAATTTCAAGTTACCCAAAGGGAGATGCAGAAATGCAGAAGAGGCATAAATAGGCTGCCATGTATTATTAATGTCAAGAAGGGGTGTGCAAGAAGAGGCATAAAAGACATCACGGAAATGTATAATCAATAAAGGAAATAGGTCATATAGTGAGAGCAAGAGACAAAAGAAACAGCCTGTATTCTGCAATGGAAAAGAATCTCAATGAAAGCCTATAATATTTATGGGAAGATCTGGCCAAAAATTACATGTCTTAGAATGGTTGCAAAATGCACCACTTGAGGGCATACTCTGCTTTTTAAATATATTCTGGTAGGGCATACTCGGCCTCCTTAGCTTTCTTCAAAGCTCAGGTCATATGCTATCTTCCCTTAGTGCTCTCTCCTTCAAACTACTATCTATGTATTTATCTATTTACATGATGTATCACTAAAATAGAATGTAAACTCTTTGAGGCCAGAGCCTTTTTGTTTTGGTTCTGTTTATGAATTCATAGTTCTATGAACAAAGGAGTTGCTTAATAAATGGTTGTTAGTTATATTATCTTCATGGATATTGATAACAGATCCATCAAAGGATCCTTAGACTTTACGGAAATGTATGCTTCAGCAATTATTAAAACCATTCTCGAGAATATTTAAGCAAGCCACAAATTAATTTTGGTTCATAGCATATTATTATCCCATGACATTCTGCTATCTTTTGATTTAGAAATTATACGTAACTGATACAGAAAGAGAATTTACTGATTCAGTTTTGGGAAATAGTGCTTTTGTTTGTCTTTAAAGTATCAGTTCATTAACAGGTGATTTTTCATGCATTTTTAACCTCTTTCCCTTTTTGAATTTTTACCCATTCTTTTAAGCCCTTATCAAATGTCACTCTTTTCAAGAAGTCTTTCTCACACCCCTTTTCCTTCAGATAGAGAGGACAAATCTTATTTGTAAATACAAATTTTCCTTGCATCTCATATATCTACCTTGGATAATTGGTGCAATACTGTGTATAAATGTGAAAATCTTCACTCTGCAAGAGAAAAAAAGAGTTAAGACTTAAGTAAACAAAGATCGAAGTAATGAATAAATACAAAGGATACATTTCAAGTTTTTATATACATATAGTTAAAAATTTCAATGGGCAGCTAGGTGGAGCAGTGGATAGAGCACCCATTGGCCCTGCAGTTAGGAAGATCTGGGTTCAAATCCGGTCTCAGACACTGACTAGTGCGAGTCACGTAACCTTCTTTGCCTAAGTTTCCTCATCTGTAAAATGATCTGGAGAAAGAAAAGGCAAACCACTCCAGCATCTTTGCCAAGAAAATGCCAAATGGGGTCATGAAGAGTCGGACACAACTAAAACAACTGAACAACAACAACATACATCAAGGGGAAAAGAGCATCTCATATTCATTCCCTTCAATTAATTAGTTTAAAGGATGACGACTCTTTTTCAATAGTGTTCTTAGTTTACCAATGTCTTTTCTTGATGATTCCTTAAACAAGTCAACCTGATGCTGTAGCAAAGAAACAGCACAAAAGGCAAAGTATGGCCCTGCACTTGGAAGGGATGGATCAAGGTTTCTCCTTTTGATAGAAAACACAAAGCTAAAACAGATCTTGGCAATTTAGTGGATAAAGTTACGGAAAAAAAATTTAAATGGAAAATTCCAAAAAGAAAAAGAATTACATTTTTTTGTATTATATGAAAATGTCCATTTCAGACTACGTAAGGCTCTTTCACTTTCTGACTGTCCAGTCTCATCATCCTGTTTCACACATAAAACAACATTTAAATAATGGGCTGCTTAAAGACAGGGGCCAAGTTTGCCTATCTTTGCACCCCCAGCACTTAGCAGAATGGCTGGCACATAGTAAGTGCTTAATAAATACTGACTGACTGAATGCTCACAGCCAATTTTATACCTGGGATGAACTATTCAATATCAATCTTTATAGCTACATTTTAATCTTTTATGTTTTTTCTGGACAAATCAATTTATGATTGATTTATCATAGCTATGCCATTTTCCAAAAAGAAGTAATACATTCTTCTGTCAAAGGGTTCCTCAAATACACTCAACTCTAGAAAAGCCTCTGGTTTAGCATTCATTAACTTAATCTTGCACACTTGGAATAATTTTTCTACTGGCAACATTTTTCATGGATGTTTACAGGTGCTCAAACACCATTCAGATAAAGAGTTTTGAGTTACAGCCTATTAAGGAACATTCCCAGAAGAATATTTACAGCCCTGAAGTGCACACCCAACTTGAATTGTGACAAACTTTCATTTGCTTAATTTTCACAAAATCATTAATAACAATAATCAGATTCCTGAAGTCAAGACTATAATGAAGTGGATTAAGATTATATAAATGATACAGTTCATCATCTATAATTATATATTATATGTAAACTATAAATTATAAACATGTACATAGGGGAGCTAGCCTCAGAGTGGGAAGGAACCTTGGATGTCACTGAGTCCAAACCCTTCATTGTACAGATGAAATTGAGGCCTTGAGCAGTTAAATGACTTTCTGGGGTCACACAGTTAGGTATTTATAGTAGGATTCAAATTCAGCTCTTCCTGACTTGAAGTCCAGCACTCTATTCACTATGCCACTTAGCCACAAATACCTACACAAATACAGTAAAGTGTTGTGTTGTTCAGTCATTTCAGTTGTGTCTGACTCTTCATGACCCCACCTTGGGGGTTTTCTTGGCAAAGATACTGGAATGGCTTGACATTTCCTTCTCCAGCTCATTTTACAGATGAAGAAACTGAGGTAAAAAGGGTTAAATGACTTGCCCAGGTTTACACAGCTAGTAAGTGCCTGAGGCTAGATTTGAACTCCAGTCTTCCTGACTCTAGGCCTGACACTCAAATCACTGTACAACAGCTATTACTAGAAGCACTAGCTGAAGTAGTAGTAGATTTACATTAATCCAGACCATTCAAATTCAGAATTCAGAGCATACTTTAACAAACCTGACATAGTAAAGCTCATTTGTAAATGCGATAACTTAGAGGTTATTATTAAACTTTTCAACAGATTTAATTTAAGCTCAAAAGTATATAATTCATTTACCAAAAAAATCACATTATGCATAATTTTCAGAAACAGATCTGAAAGTATTCCATAACAAGCAAGGATGAAGTATTCCTTTATAATTTTCTAATTGATCTAAACTACAAAGGCCCTTGAGAGAGTTAACACATTGACTTACATGAATATAGCTGATATTTTGGAGGGCAAATTTTTAACGTAGCGGGATGGGATATGGGCTAGGGAGAGATGGGAGAGTATGATGGCATGTGAAGTGAAAGCTGACATCCAAAAGGTGGTGAGATAACTAGGTGCTTCAGCAAAGAATTTCCATTTCCATCATTAGTCAACAATTCTACCATGAGATCCTTCTTCTCCTTTTTCAAGAAACAGGTAAGGAACAATTATATTATTCTCTGGTAGAAAAAGTTTCATTTAACCTTAAAGATTCCTAACTCCACTTCCCAAATAAAAAAGGTCAAAAATGAATCCCTGTGTAGGCATCAGTGATTCACATGAAAGTGGGAACCTGCTTAACATCTTTTATTAATGGCCTGCTCAATTTAAAGTAATCTTCTACGCCTCCCCCTGGTTAAACAGCTGGTTTGGCTTCAGAAAACCTAACAGCTTCTAAATTTCGGGGTGCTGAGTGAAAAGTGTTCCATGCCAGAACCAAATTCCCTCAGCTCCTTCCTTACATGTAAATGTGTGGAGTACTTAAGTAAGCCTTCTAATTAAACCTGGCAACATTACAATGAAGAAGGAGGCTTGGGAAATGCCAATGGGGTATATAAACAAACTTTTATGTGAATAATTAAGTCAGGGCTAAGCTTATGTTCCCACCCCTTTAATCATTGCCCCTGATTATAGCTACCACTAAAAGCTAAATGTTTCCGAACTCTTCTGTTGTAGCTGATGATCTGTGGCTCTTTGAACATATACCTTCTTTGATGGATAAGGGCATCTTTTTTGACCTGTTTCTTTCTGTCCTCTTTTTATGCCCCTACCTTTCAGTAATTTATAATGACTAATTATGACATGTAGGTAAACTGTGAAAAGAATAATGAATATATGTTGTAGTTACCTTTTGCTTTACACATAGTGCAACAATCACTTTTAAAAAACTGTAATAAAATACAGGGTGGTATGTTTGGATTAAAAACCACTCTCACATTTTATAGTCCTTGGGTAGTGGCTATAGACAGGGCTTCCCCACTTAGAAAGGATTACATTTAGCCTATTTGTATGACATTGGCCAACTTGAGAAGGAGCAGGGTTAGATGCTACGATACTATTAGATTTGCAAGTAAAAGTAAAATGCTAGCCTTTTGGAGGGTTCAAAACTACTCTTAATGGCCTTTGCTAAGAACCCGAGCATATCTGAAACCACAATTACACAAATTATGTGATATCCTGTTTTAAAAATTTTTATTTTCAATTTATGGAATAAAACAAGCACTTCCATATCATAGTACGGTAAAAAGAAACTGCAAACCTAATATGCACAACTTTTTATTCCTTTCAAATATATAACAAAATTATCATGTAAATTTCTCTTTTTCCTTCCTCTCCCCCTCCCCCACATCCTAGAGATGACTACCACTAGACACAAAAAGGTATATATATGTAAAATTATTCTATACATGCTTCTATTTATCATTTCTTTCTCTGGACGTAGATACTGTCTAATTTTTTTTCAAGAGGTAGATGCAAAGATTTTGCAGTGTAATAATCCATTATTTGAAGCCTACGTAAAGTACTGGAAATTTAAGGAAAACACTATTCTTTTTTGTTATCTGCTCCTCACACTCCTCTGGGCTTCGGTCCACCAACCTAGTCTCATCTTCTCCAGATTCAAGAACTTCTTGGCCATTTCAATGCCAAGCTATTCCCCATTCCTACCCCACTTTCTATCCACCACATAAACATTTCTTAGTGCCCCTTTATGCCATCATAGTGTAAGCTTCTTGGGGGCAGGTATTACTTTGGTTTTTTTGGATTAGTATGCCCAGTGCTTAGCATAGTGCCTGCCATATATTATATAATTAATAAATGATCTATCTATCTATCTATCTATCTATCTATCTATCTATCTATCATCTGTATCTCCACGGCTTCTGTATACATGAAGATATTAATTACTTTTCACATATGCCTCTTCCAATCAATTGTTGAAACATGGTCCTATTTTCAAAATTCCTCTATTCTTGCCTCTCCTCTTTCCCTCAAAGGCTTACAATTTCTTCATGAGATAAAATGAGCAATTTATTCCAATTATAAAACTGCATCTAAAATAATGATTCTTTTTCTCTGTCCATTGATCTTTTATTTCTTGTAGAAAAATGCAGTTACTAAATTTAGCCTTTAAGAAACAGGCTATTCTTTTAAAATATAAAACAAAAGCAATTACATTATGGCTGGTCACCACTGGCACAAACTAGCAAATCATTCTTACCTTAGATACAAAACATTCTGCTATGGCCACAGGATCATTTTCACAGTTTTCCAAATCTTGCAAAAGTCCACTAATAACAAAAAACACAAGCAAGTAAAAAAAAATAATTTGCAGTCTTTCATAATGAAGGGTATTTTATCCAGCTAGATACAAGGCAGTCTGTGGTACTAAGTGGTGCAATGGATAGAGTGCCGAACCTGGAGTGAGGAAGATCTAGTTCAAATTCAGACTCTGACACTAGTTTGACACTAGTCAAACTTTGACACTGGTTGTATGATTCTGGGGCAATCCATTTGATCTTTGTTTGCCTCAGTTTCTTAACCTATATAATGGGGATAATAATAATGCCTACTTGCTAGAGTTGTTGCGAGGACAAAATGAAATAAAATTTTTGAGTTGCTTTGTAAACCAGAAAGCGCTATATAAATGCTATTATCATTATCTTTCAAGTTAAAATATTGCAGTTGCCTTTTTTTTTTCAAAATATGATTGCTGCCTTAAATATCATAACAAAAATCAGATTCGAACTAAAAAATCACAAAGAGTAGGTAATGGCAGGTTTTCTCACTCTTGGGTTTTCTCATTCTGTCACTCAGCAAATAATAAATAATTCTGACCAATTTTCATGAAGCATACTCTAAAAAGGAAATAATTCTTCCTTATCCAGTATAACTAAAAGGGTATTGGTCTTAAAGCCAGAAGATTTGAAGTCAAATACTGTTTTCATATGTTCTTCTTTCCTGACTCCATCTAGTTCCACATCACCAACTGTCATTTGGACATCTTGGATGTTTTACAGGCATCTCAAACTCATTGTATCCTACCCATTAGCATACACTATGATCCCGCAACACTGGGATCCTTCTTGCTCTTTTTATTGGCTGTCCTCACATCAGGAATGCCCTTCTTCTGTGTCTCTGCCTCCTGCCTTCTCAGCTCAAATCCAATCTTCTACAAGAGGCCTTCCCTAACCCCCTTCACCATTTGCCATCCATCAGAAATTACCTCTATTTTACCCTGCCCACAGTTGCTTGCACATTGTTTCCCCCATTAAAATGTGAGATCCTTGAGGGAAGTGAATGTATTTTTTGCCTTTTTTTTTTTAAATCTGAAGCACTTAGCACAGGGCCTGGCACATAATAAACACTTAATAAATACTCGTTGACTTATGGATTGACTTATCTTCCCCTCCCTCTATTCTCCTCTTTTTAACTTTCCTATTACTATCCAGGGTACCAACATCCTTCCAAGCACTGAGGCATACAACCTCATTGTCATCTCCAACTCCTCACTTTTCCTTGCTCACTTTTACCCATTTGTTGCCAAAGCTTATTATTTCTAATTTCACAACATTCTCTTGTACATTCCCTTTTCTCCACTAACGTAGCCTCTATTCTAATAAAAGCCCTCATTACTTCTTACCTGGATTATTTAAAAAAAACTTTAATTACTCTTCCTGCCTCAAATCTCTCCCTATTCCCTTCCATCCTTCAGTCAGCTTCCAAACTGATTTTCCTTATGGTCATAACACCTCCAGTGAGCTCCAGTGGCTCTCTATTACCTTCAGAAACAAGCATAAGATTCTCTGTTTGGCATTTACCACTTCGTGGTCTTCCTATGTTTCCAGTCATCTTTATACTTCACAAACTCTACATTAATCTACAATCCAGCTACATTACTTGCTGTTACACACAAAGGACACTCCATCTCTAGACTCCTTGTCTTTGCATGCTCCATGCCTTGAATCCACTCTCTTTCTACACAGCTTCTTGTTTCCCTAACTTCTATCAAAACTCAGCTCAAGTTCCACTTTCTGCAAGAGGCTTTTCCAGGTCATCCTCTCCCTTCTTTCCCCATGCCATTCATCTGGGAATACTTTCCAAATACTTTATATGTATCTTGTTATGTGCAGAAGTTTTTTTACTAGTTGTCTTTCTTATCAGAATTTGAGCTCTTTAAGGGAAAGGATAGTGTTTTACTTTTATATTCTAAATGTGTAAGCCAGTGCCGTGTTAATTTGGTTAAATTGGTTTAAAATGATACCTAAAAAGAAGCTATTGAAGATGATATTAATAATGGGAACAAAAGCCAGCCAGAAAATGGAAGAGAGGAAACTTCTAGGACAGGTTTCTTATGAGCTATATAATTAGGTAAAAATACTGAGGATCTCATCATACTGACAAGAAATCAACCCTCTACCCCAAATTGGAAATTATCAAGATCATGTGAAATATGAATTTACAGCCATTATCATTAATACTGAGCTTCATCCTAGGCATATAATTTTACCTTGATATTAACTAATGCTAGTTGGAAGGTATCATAGTTAATAAGACATTTAGGACATAAGCTTTGGTTGCCAAAAACACTATGCCATGTTACCATGGGCAAGCCATTAATTTCTCTGGTCCTCAGTCTTCTCAACCTTTATAAAACTAAGGGATTAGACTAGATGATTTCTAAGGTGCTCCCCAGATACATGATCTAATGATTTGAAGAAAACTCCCATATCTATATAAATGGAATTTTCTAGTAGGTTATAAAAGCTTCAAAATGAAAAGCTTTAAAAGGTTTTGAGCCCATTTACTACAAATATAAAAATGCAACATCTTCCAATTAATTTGCATGAACAAATGAATTGACATCAGGGAAGATGGAAATGTACTAGCTCAATTTGAACAAAAGCCTGGGCATAATTAGTAGATGGAATTGAAAAAATGAGGAAAAAATGAGGACCATCACAGTCAGCTCAGAAATTAATACACATCTTCCTTTGGAATGGATGTGTTTTTGTGAGATGTCTTTTTCAGCTATGACAACTAGAAAAATAAAGCATTGCAATAAACAAAACTTTGAACCAGACCTTAGAATTGTGGCGTCAGAAAATATTAGACCAAGATTTTCAAAAATAATGAGAGCAAAAAAGTATTTTTTGCATGACAAAATAAAATGATTTGAAAATATTTTGTCTTTATTTCATCTTTTTAATTTTTGCATTTGTTTTGTAATGTACATGATATATCAATATAGTAGCACATGCAAGCAATTTATAAATGAATATATATATATATATATATATATATATATATATATATATATACACACACATATACACACACATATTTTGGGGTGTTGTTCAATTTTTTTTTTTTACTAAAGCACTGCATGATCAGTCAGTCAATAAACATTTACTAAGTTCCTACTATGTGATGGGCACTGTGCTAAGTCCTGGGGATACAAATATGAAAAAGAAAGATATTGCTGCTCTTAAGGAATTTACAGTCTAATGGGTGAAGATATCACACAAAAGGAAGCCTAGGGGGAGGAAGGGAAAGAAGATATCCATTGCAGTGTCATGATGGAGAAGTTCACATGGGAGATAAAGAAATGGCTGGCCTGGGGCCCCTCCAGAAATGGAGGCTTTGGAGTTCATGTTGCCACCCTCCAATCAGAGGGATAGAGGGAACTGATGAGGTGTGAGTGCCAAGGCTGACTCCATGCTGGATGATGATATTTCTAAAATGCTGAGAGATTACTGGTCTACACGATCCATTTAGTTTTTAATTAGTGTCTTGCATTATTAGTTTTCTTTTGACATATATATATATATATAAATATGTATATATATGTATGTATATGTATATAAACACACATATATATAATCTCTTTAATGAGACTGCCTGCTCCTTAACCACAAAGCCTATTTCTTACACTTCTTCGTATTCACTTGTCAGAGTGTCTTACATACTCTGCTCAAAAAATGACTGTTGACTGATTCACTATTTCTTTTTCATTCACGCTAGGTATAAAAGAATATGCATTTGCATTCAGGCCAGCATCTGTGTTTTTGCATTCACTAGTACTTTCTCATACTTATTACCATTTCACTCTCTGTTTTACATTTCTCTGACTTAATATTGCCAACTCTTTTTTTTGTAGCTGTTTTATCAATAAGCCTAACTGGAAGGGTAAAAATGGACTTTTCTAGTACCATTCCCCACCCTCTACACTCTTGCCTGATCCATACCACTAAGGGCAACCAAAACTAAAAGAGGAAAAAACAGTGTGTGTAAGCAATTGGATCACAGAGTCCAACAGATTTAATAGGATGTCAGAGGGAAGAGATAAAAGTTGTGAAAAAATAAAATAGGCATTCTAGTTTGGTGGCACAGTGGACAGAATGCCAGGCTTGGAGTCAGAAGACCTGATTTCAAATCCCACCTCAGACACTTACTAGCTATGTGACCCTGGAGAAGTCATTTAACCTCTGCCTCAGTTTCCTCATCTGTCAAATGGGGATAGTAATAGCACCTACCTATTATTGATCAAATGACATAATGATTGTAAAGTGCTTAGCACAGTGCCTGGCATGTAGTAAATGTTGTATAAATGTTAGCTATTATTATTATTAATCATCATCATCACAATCATCATAGTCAATCACAACTCCTATTCCTATAGTACTTGGTAGTTTGCAAAAAATTTTCCTCACAACAATTCTGTGAAGTAAATGGGGCAAATATTCCCATCCATAGCTGAGGAAACTGAGGCTTTGAGAGGTTAAATGAATTGTTCATGGTCACAGAGCTAATATGCTCCTGAGGCAGAATTTGAACCCAGATTTGAAGCTGAGGACCAGTTTTCCATTCCTACCACTTCTTTCCCCATACCCTCTTGTTTTCTTTTCCTCTAAGATAAGACATTCTGTTGCTAAACACAAAATACCAACAAGGGATCCAGGAGAAAAAGGTCATCAGTATAAAGCAGTAAGAGTAGAAGATGGGGGGGCAGCTAGGTGGCACAGTGGATAGAGCACCAGCTCTGGAGTCAGGAAGACCTGAGTTCAAATCCAGCCTCAGACACTTGACACTTACTAGCCGTGTGACCCTGGGCAAGTCACTTAACCCCACTGCCTAGCAACAAAACAAAACAAAAAAAGAGTGGAAAATGGGGACGGGTTGCCCTTTAACGGGTCAGTCTAGATGGAAGGATAAAGAAGACTCTTGGAAGGGACTGAGAATTCTTCGTTATATCTCACAGATCCATGCACCAGGTACATACAGATACACA